AAATGTGCTAATAAAAATTTGGTTTTACCCGTAATCAAAATAAACCTCTGCAACTTTCTACAGCCATTTTGTACCATAGTTAAAACATATGAAGTTGTGGAAAAAGGGGCTGCTGCCCACCCCCTCCTCGCTTATACCTGCAAAAGCACAATACAACCGTTTTAGTGCGTTTACTCTTCCAGGTCATGTTCGCATCCTGGTCGCCACAGATCTGGCTTCCAGGGGGCTGGATGTCCACGATATAACCCACGTGTTTAACTACGACTTCCCACGAAACATAGAGGAGTACGTCCATCGCGTGGGCCGCACAGGCAGAGCGGGGTAACAGATCTACGTTTATGTCCGTCCACCTGTAGCTATAGGCTTAGACTGGGTCAGTTTGTGATGCAACGCATTTTTTTTCCCTAGGCGAACGGGTGCTGCCATTACCCTGTTGACGAGAGATAACTGGAGGATGGCCTCAGAGCTGATCTCAATCCTGGAGAGAGCAGGACAGGTAACCATGTGGAAATCATCAGAGGGTTTAAATCAGGGGTCTGCAAACTTTCATATCCAAAGAGCCATTTTGCTGTGAGTCCAGCTAAGAAAAACTTGAGAGCCAAAAAATATTACATGGTTTTTTTTTGTTTTTTTTTTTTTGTTTTTTTAAATAAACAACCTATTACTTTGGTTAAATATATGCCATACTTGATATGTTGCCATCTTAAAAAACAAGAGCTTCTTTGTATTTTATGCTTTTAAAATAAGGTAAAACATAAAAATACCCGTAAAACTGAAGCATGGATTTTTTCATGTAGGGTATTATTTGATGTAGACAAAAATGATAATAAAAAAGTAAGTTTCCAAGCTAATTGAATTAGAAATATGTAAAAACACATTTCTGGTGCTTTCCAATGTTTTTTATAAAAACCACATAAGCGTCTAAAAGCTGATTTTATACTTCGAAACCAGGTCATCTGCGTGTGTGTTGTGGTGAATGCAGATCCCTGCCCCCTCCGCACCTTTCCCATATTGTAGGTCACCTCAAACAGGAGGCCTCTGATTGGTCAAATCTACATCCGCTCTCAAGCTGCGTATTTTCTATTTGGTGCCTTATCGGCTTGTTTTGTTTGTATGACCGCCATTGCGGAGAACGACTCGTGAAGATGGATTACCTAGAAGAGCTAGATGCAGAGAACGCTGGGACCCTTTTTCCACCTGGATCCCCACTCTTTGTCGCCCTCATATCCCTCTGATGTCGGACAAACTTGCCCCCACTTTTCTCACCACCTCGGCTGTATCTAGACCCACAGCTAGTTTGTGATTGTCCCTTTTGCGTTGTGGCGTGGAATAAACATAGCGCAGACCATGCTTCAATATTAAGCATAAATCAAAAATATCTGCTTCCTCCTAACACTACTGCGGGAGGATAACCAGCCCTTTAGACTAATTCTTGTTCTACAATATTTAATTCTTATTATATTTAGCCACTATTAAGTGGCCATGGTAGAGGGTCCAAAGAGCCTCATGCAGACCCCTGGTTTATCCATCCATAGAACCGTTTTCTATCATGCTTATTCCAACTGGGGTCACGAGGGGTGCCTATCTCCAGCTGTCAATGGGCGAGAATCTATCGCAGGGCAACACAGAGACAACCATTCACACCTAAGGAGAATATAGAGAAGCCAATTAAGCGGACTGTGGGAGGAAGCTGGAGAGAACCCACACATGTAGAACATGTAAACTCCATGCAGAAAGACCCTGGGCCAGGATTCGAACCCAGAACACTCCTGCTGCAAGGCAGCACTGCTACCCACTGTGCTTCTGTGAAGCCCAACCCTGGTTTAATGTATAGATGATTGATTGTTGCCCATTTATGTAAACTGCCTGAATATGTAAATGTTATATATTACAAGGGAATGCATTTTCAGGACGTCCCAGAAGAGTTGGTGCTCATGGCGGAGAGATACGAGAAGCACAGGAGGGAGAAAGAGCTGCTTTCTCCAAGAGAACATGGAAGGGGTGGAAGAGGAGGTGGAGGGAGAGGCGGCAGAGACCGAGGCCAGAAATACCGATTCTGATGTCTGTAAGTCTGCACCAGCTGTAGCGATAGCACAGCTCAATGTGGAAATGTTCAGGGCAACGTTCAGTTTAAAGATAAGCTTCATATTTAGAAACATATTTTTAGCTTCTTTTTCCTTTCAGAAACATTCCTGCAACCTTTAAAGGGAAAGCAAACTAACATCTACACTTTTTCATGAAGTTCTAAACTATTCGGCTTTACAAACCACAAAAATATAGAATATGAGCAAAAGGTGAAAATAACATGTATAGGAGAATAATTTACATGGTTTGTCCTTTTTTTTTTTTTTTCTTCAGCACGTTGGAATAGGATCCAAAGCTGGCTGTGATTTCTTCACAATGTACATAAGTTTATTTTTTTTACTTTGTTTACATTTTATGTAGTTTTATCTGTATTGCCATTTGTATGCCAGGTAGACACTTTTGGTGTTAAAGAAGTTTTATGTTGAAAAATGCCTTGTTCCAAGTCGAGTGTTTGCTTTCTGTGTCTCACCAACCTTGTTTATACAGATTGATTATTTTTGATTATTTTGCTGTGTGTTTTTGGGAGAATTGTTAAATAAACTCTCTTTCTGAATAAACTTGCTGTCTATCTGCCCTCTATTTCAGACATTTAGCTGCTGTAGCCCCATTGGAAAATCAGCATCTCTGTCTTTACTTCAATAAGTAGATATTTGCAAAAGTAAATGTTTTTTTTTTTTTTTTTTTTAGAAAAAAAAAAAGTGTTCATCAATTCCTGGCACCCAAGATCCTACTGATTATATAATTAAAAACTCTAAAGGTGCAAAGTAAATTTAGTTCATAACCAATATAAACACCCTGCTGAGTACTAAATAGCAGGACAGCTGCTTTTCAATAAAAAAGGGGAAAAATTGTATTTTCTTCAAACACTGCTGTTCAGGATACGTCATGCGCGTAAATTGTCATTTTTTTATTTGATATATATTTTTTATATTCAAATGGTGACTATTTCTAGAAAATCATGAGTAGTGGAGATGTACTGTGCCACATTCTAGCATGGCTATTTTCTATCTGCTGTCCCTGTGGCAGGTAGGGAGAAAAACAGATGTCAGAATAGTTGCCAAACTCCAATATTAAAATGTTTAATGATGTTATTAAGGGAGATTTAGAATTCATCCAGATAGAAAGGACATCTTTGGATGGGTAAAGGACACATACAGTGGGGCCAAAAAGTATTTAGTCAAGCACTGTGCATGTTCTCCTACTTAGAATAATGAGATAGATCTGTATTTTTCATCATAGGTACACTTCAACTATGAGAGATGAAATTAGGAAAAAAAAAATCCAGGAAGTCGTATTGTAGGATTTTTAAAGAATGTATTTGTAATTTTTATTGATGGTTGGATCATTAGCCAAATGAAAACCTTAATCTGAATAATGACTACAGACCTACAGGCTGCTTTTCCTGATTGACCAATTCTTTACATCTTTATCAAGCTGTTGGTTTCTGTTTTACTCACAAGCAAACCGGTTTTTGAAGTGCAGTTCATTACAGTAGAAACCAACTTATGATGGTGATTACACCATACTGTAAAGCAAACTTGGTATTCCTATTGGTACATGTTTAATATTAACTCATAATGCTACGTTCAGACCACACGCTGCAGAAGCAGACTGTTTACGTGTATAGTCAATGGTTGACGTGCAGCAAAAGGTCATGCAGCGTTTGAGCATCTGAAACACTTGACGCAAATTACTCGCTGTGAAGCAACAGCTGCTGAAGATGGAAAAATTAAACTTTTGCTGCTCATTCACATCAACCAATCAGAGAAGCTGATCTGGGAGCTGGCAGGGAGACAGGCACAGCACTGCTGATAATGCAGATCACTATTATCACAACTCTGAAACTGTTTATTAACGCCTAAATTAATGTAAAATGTCGAAAGTTGGCAGAATATGTTCGATTTTATTATTCTGGTGCCTGCAGTTTGGATTACATACTTGAAAAACTCCTTCCAGCCGCCACGAACAGTAGTGGAAAACCACGACCTGGCTAGAGGCTCCCATTGAACAGGATTTCCACTGACAGAGCACCGACGTATACAGTAACCGCTCAGACCCCCGGTACAGGGGGTCTGGCTGCAAAATGATATATGAAGGCAGGTTCGTAACCTTCATGAACTGACTGCACCGATATTGTTTTCAGGTGGATTTTCTCCCTTAAAAACATACTAAAACTACTTTTTACCCACTTATAACAGCAAATATAGCAAAGCCACTCTCTTCTATTGAACACGCATCTAACCCTAACCCTATCTGGACACACTTTACTGGACGTCTGACCTTAATGTGGACAATCATCAAAATTGTTTTTGCTGTTTCCAGTGCTTGCAGTCTGAATGTAGCTTTATTTATTAAAATAAGCCAAGCGACTCTCGATTTCAATCGCCATTCTTACAGGCAAAGAAAGGATAGGGTAGCTCCGCCAAAGGTGCATTAGACCCACTTTTTGACCACGGAGCCAGAGCAGCAAAGATGCTTCAGCCGCGAATCAGAACTAAAACTTGCTGCTTCTGCTGCGTGCAGTCGAACGTAGAATTAAGATCTAAGGATCTGGCAGGAATTTCTTAGAGATTATATTATTTATTCCTTGCCACTAGATCAGGGTTCGACAGCCCCTAAAATGCAAATATCTATATCACCCAGCAAAACATTTCATGATCTTTAAATAAAACAACTTATTTTTTTAAACATCTGCCACAAGAAATCTGTTTATTTTATCTGACAAAACATTATTTCATTTTTTTGTTTTTAACCCCTTAGCACCAAACATATTTGAGCTTTTGAGACATTTACATAAGTGTTATATTTGTTCTTTAAAAAAACTCATTTATACAATTAGCCATGTAGTGAACAGAAAATCCATTATCAATGGCAGCAAAATGCCTAATGTGTCACAAATGAGACAATTTATCCCATTGAAATGACTCAGATTTATTTTTTATTATTTGTCAGAACATTTAATGACATTAATATCGAAACAAAAGTTCATTCCATAGTTTAAAAATAAACTGTTTCCAAACTAATGATAAGACATATAGATCTGAAAACATATTTATGGAACTTTAAAGTCTTTCTTAGACCAATTTATTACTCCCACCAGGGGCAATTATGTTTAGCAGTACAGGAGACAAAAAAACAAACAAAATAAACATGTAGAAACACAAAAAAATAAGATTATTAAAGAGAAAAATGTGATGGGGAGGTTGAGGATGAAAAGTAATAATAAAAACACAAAAATATAGAAGATAACACAGTTTTCTTCATCAGCCACCCTACATAGAATTTATTAGTCGAATGGCTGTTGGTATAAAAGAATTTGCATAGTGAGGCATTACAAAACGTTGCCTGAAGCAACAAAGAGAATTCTTTTTTTGAGAACATCTTTAGCTTTTTTTTTATTTGTTCATTAAAACCTACCAATGATAACTGGACTGACTGAAAGAGACTTTAGTGTTCTCAAAAGGTTCATCCTTTTCTTGAGCTTTTTTCGCAACAGCTGGTTGTTGAAAATTATTTCAAGATACTAATAAGAGGAGACCTACTTGATGGCTTCAGTATGCATAATGCTCTCTGTGACCAAATCCTTTTTTACGTCTAAAATCAAAAAGGAGTCCTTTGTTTTTTAACTTTTGACTTAAAGAAATTTCTGTCACACTAAGAAATAAAATCAGAGTGCTGTCCTGTGTTCTGATTCTGAACTGTTAAGAAGAAATAACTATTCAGTGTCATCTTAAAGTTTAACAAGATACCTGTGTGCTTTTACATTCATTTCTGTACAAAATATAAAGAAAAGGAGATCAACCACAACCCTAGGTGAACCTGTTGATACAGAGACACAATCTGACAACGCCTCTCTGCTCTCTTATAGACAAAAAAAATCTAAAATCCTTAAGACAAGATGGTGAGACAGATTAAATTTATTTAAAAACCTCTAACTCAAAAGATGTGGTTGCATCTCCTTTGTCTAAAGTGTCTAAGTATGGTATTTTTCAATATACTATAATCTAACGCATTGGCTTGTATAGCCACTGCTGAGAACCGTTGTAGAGCTAAAGAGCCACCTGCAGCTCCAGAGCTGCAGGTTGCAGAACCCTACTGTTGCTGGTCTGGGTACCACGATCGTACTGATGCTGACTAGCCCATTACTGGGTAAGCTGCATGTCCGAAGAACATTCAGGCTCAGTTACACGTCTAAAACAAAAAGACCTCCCAGAAAGTTAGAAAAAAACCCCCCCAAAAAACGACAAGTTCTTTCTTGTAAAAGATGACAGAATTTAGGTAACATAAGAAAAAAACTGCAAATCTTCAAACATTTACAATTATTTTAAATAGTTAAAGTGTTTGTTTATTAAAAACTTCAAGTTTTGAAAACTTCAAACCACAGGTCATCCTCTTAGTTTTTTTAAAAATTATTATTCAAGTACAATAATGTGAAAAAATAAAACAAAAAGCAAAATTCCAACAATCCTCAGGTCTAACTCTTAATTAGCAAGATCCTTCACAAAGATGGGAAAACCATTTTCCCGTTGCTCCTTGATGGAGTCAGACAGATTTTTGCACACATTTTTCCCTATTCCAGAGAGCAGGTTCTGACTGGGGATGAAGAAGTTGGCGAGTATACCTCCTCTCAGGTGGCCTTCAAAGTCCTGAAGGAGCTGCTCAAAGCAGCGGCTGAGATCTGATGCCCTCCATTCGCTGTCTTTAGCTCTGGAGCAGCAGGCATGTAGAAACACAGTCTTGGCATGGTAGGAGCAGAACTTCTCAAAAGAAGGGTTGCTTTCCTTCAGCAGATGTAGAAGATGCTTGAAGAGCTTTACACAGTCTTTCCTGAATGCAGAAACACACAAAAAAGGTTGTGATTTCCTGCAAAATTGGCACATTTATAAAACTAGTGTTAAATTCTGGGCTGAAACAACAGTTACCTATAGATTATTGAAATAATCAACCAATTTAGTAATTGATTATTGATTAAACGGAGTATAGAGACTCCTGACTTTTTTTCTAACAGATTATCTGTCTTTATATTACTGTCAGTGCTAGGGCTGAAATAGTTAATCGGATTAATCGTGATTATTCTATTATTGAAAAAATCGTCAATAACTTAGTAATCGATTAATCATTAATTGGAGTATAGAGACTCTATAACATAAATAAATTAAATGATCAACCTGCAGCAGCTTTCTCCCTCTCTTTCACAGCACGTCTTCTCTGATCCATGTTTCCTCATAATATCCTTCTCGATGTGAGAGAACGACACTCGCCAAGCATCTGTGAGGGAAAAAACAAAGCAGTCTATAACGTGTGGTGTTCTTTGGGTCAACCTTTTTTTAATTGTGTTTCACCTATTTTCAACTTGGGTTTCTTTTCATTCTGTGAATACACTTCAAAAACAATCTAGAAATAAGTAACAATTTCTTAAATTATAGGTATTTACCCTCAATTTACCGTATTTTCACGACTATAAGGCGCACTTAAACGTCTTTTTTTTCCCTCAAAATGTGCGGTGCGCCCTATGGTGCGGTGCGCCCTATGTGTGTTGTAACTGCAACTTTTGAGACCACCTCATTGAGGAGATGATGAAAGAGTGGCTGAATGTAAGGAGACCAGGTGTTTTTTTTTTCCACCCCTCACCATCGCTGTTAATATGTAACTCCATGCGTGCCCATCTCACAGCTGATGTGAAAAACATGGGGAAACAAATGAATGCTGTGCTCGCTGTTCAACCGCTCGACATCGGTGTGAACCGGACCCAGCAGGTGCAGCAGAAGCAGCGAGTTTACATGCAAAGTCAATGGTTGACGCGCGTATAGGTGCAGCAAAAGGTCCTGCAGCGCGTTTTGGTGCAGCACGTCGGGAGCGTTTAAGCATCTGAAGCGCCGCCAACGCGCTGCTGCTGCTCAAGATGGAAAAATTGAAGTTTTGCTGCTGGACGCGCCGCATCAACCAATCAGAGAAGCAGATCTGGGAGCTGACAGCGAGACAGACACAGCGCTCTGATGACATATGATATTAGATGAAAAAAGCTGGGTGGATGCGTGGCTGAGACAGGTGTATGTGAGAAGACTAGGTGGTTTTTTCCACGCATCACCATCGCTGCGTGCCCATCTCACAGCCGATGTGAAAAAAAGGTGAATCAAATGAACGCTGTGCTCGCCGTTATCCCGGGGGGTCTGACAAAGGAACTTCCACCGCTCGACATCGGTTTGAAGCGGCCGTTCAAAGTAAGGCTGCAAGCGGCGTGGGAGCGATGGATGACAGACTGAGACCACAGTTTCAGGAAGGCAGCGCCGGGCAAGTTACGCCACCGTTTGCGGATGGATTGTAGATGCTTGGACTACTACGTGTCTGCTGGCTCTGTTGTTCAAGCTTTTGCAAAAGCCGGCATTATTTCTGAGGAGCTGCGCTGCACGGAAAGTGACTCTGACAGCGCAGAAGGGGAAACTGGCATGTCTGATTTAGCGCAGCTGTTTAATTCAGAAACAGAGGATGATGACTTTGATGGGTTTGATTAATACTTTGTAATAAATACATGAATAAAGCACAAACATACTCAGTTTTGCTCCCGCTCTATTTTTCTACCTGAAAGCTTAATTCAACAGCAGCCTCTGGGCCGGGTCTCCTCCTCTTCAGCGCGGTGGCTGGCAGGTGTTTTTTCATCTAAATAATCTAAATCTTGCAGCTATATTTGCTGTGATCAGTGGGAATAAAGTAGTTTTAATATGTTTTTAAGTGAGAAAGTCCACCTGAAAACTTAATAATTGCAGTCAGTTCATCCAGATTATCTATTTCTGTCGGAGGCGCTCAGACCCCCACATACCAGCGGTACACCGACAGCAGAAATCCTTTCATCAGCAGCCTGTAGGCTGGGCAGCCTCCAGGTTCACCGGCGGCTGCTGGCAGGTGTTTTTCATCTAAATAATTTTAACTGCAGGCACCAGGATACCGGCAATAAAAGCGAACATATTCCGTCGGCAGGTTTCAGGATTTTAAGTTAATTTAGGAGTGACCACAGCGCTGTGTCATCTGCGATGTGTCTGTCTCACGGCCAGCTGCCAGGTTTGATTAATACTTTGTAATAAATACATGAATAAAGCACAATCATACTCAGTTTTGCCCCCGCTGTATTTTTAATAAGCAGTAGAGTTATTTAAAGGTAGTAGAGGACATGTACCTGTATATAAAAAACGCGCCCTATAGTCCGGTGCGCCTTATGTGTGTGTTAAATACAGAAATGGGACACATAACTGAGAGTGCGCCTTTTAGTCCGGTGCGCCTTATGGTCGTGAAAATACGGTAAGTGGGTAAATAAGATGATCTACCAATGGAATAAGTATTTTAATCCTAAAAATAGATAATTAGTTAACATTCACTTGAAATAAGACAATAACAACTTATTTTAAATGTAAATTTTCTTATTGCCTCACTTACCTACTCAGTTCAAGAAAAATTCACTTATTTTAAGAAAAAAAGGACTTACTTAGATCTTAATTTTTTTGCAGTGCAAAAAGAAAATTCTTGTTTGGTTCCGAAGATCGGCAAAGATCTACATACCTTTGGCTTGAACCCCATTGTTTTCCACATTTCCTCTGCCTTCGTACTTTGGTACCAGGTAGTAAGGCTCTCGTTTGTACTCCTGTTTCACTTTAGTTCCGAGCCACTGGTCAATTTTAAAACCGTCACGGGTAAAATCTGGCCAACTGGATTTCACTTTGAGACAGAGAACCACGTCGAGAGAGATGGTGACTGGGCCAGACTCTGCGGTCAGGGTCACTGCAGGGCAGCCTTGTTTCTTCGGCGTCATCGTCCATGCTAAAGCAAAAAGGAGAGGAGTTAGTGCAAAGCAAAGACTTGTTTGCAATTACCTACTCAAAAAAATAATTCATGAAATGCTATATATTTGACTATTTACATCATATCACACATTCCATCAAGTCTTTTGTACTATATTTGAAAATCAAATATATTTTTAAATGCCAAAGCCAAAAGATCAAACCAGAGACCAAAGTTTGCCACTAACCTGGAAATCCTTTTACAAATGTCTTTATTTCTTTTCTAAAGTCGTTTAACATTTCGCTTGCACTTAAAATATCATCCTGCTGAAATTGTTTTAAAGGATTATTTCCACGTTTTAATCCCACGCTGTAGAAGGCTCCATCTGGCCCAAAAGGCTCAATCTTTACTCTTTCAACTGGCATTGGAAGCATGACATCAAACTCATCTGGATCTGAAATCTGTATAAACAGGACACAGAGATTAACATATGTTCTCTGAATCTGTAAGATTTTTAACTAGTTACTTACCTTAAGGTTTTCATAATAACTCCCTGTGCGCAGTGACTCATCCACTTCTCTGAAATGTAGGGTATCCTTTTTTAAATACTTGATTAGATTTTCTATGAATTCATTTACAACTTTAGCAGCTTCTGATTTGTTCTTTGTCTTAATCTTCAGGTTGCTAAGAATCGACCGTAGGAGAGCGTCTCCTGACAGATCTGCTTTTCCCTTCATCCTCTGCCCGGGTTTCACAGCACATGCCTTATTGTTTGACTCTTCAGCAGCCTTTTTGTTTTTCTTTTCCGGTTCTCTCTTAATCTTTGCCTTCTCCGGCTCTTCGCCCTCCTTCTTTGCTGAGATCTTTGAGCATGTCTGAAATTCTGCATTAGCGCGCGCTTTTGGTTTAGTGGCATCTATAGAAGGCGCTTTGAACTCCTTCGTCAGCTTTGTAGCAGCTTTGATCTCCAGCTGGGATTTCAGATGATCCTCTGGAGGTTTTTTCACCGACCCAGACCTGCTGGAACAGGTTTTGGTCTTACTGCTTTCTGGCGGGATCCGCTGTTCCTTAATACTCTCCCTTGTTGATTGTCTGGTTACCTTTTCTTTAGTAGCTTTCTCCACAGACGGCTTCTTCTCAGCATGGTTTGATTTCTGTTCATCCTGTGCCTTTACTGTTTTCTGCTTCTCTTCATTAAACCCTCTTCGTTGCACCGGAGGTGCACATTTCATTTCTTTAGGTCTCGATTCAGGACTCCTTGCCTTACGAGGTTTTTCTCTCACACTCATGATGAAGAAATGAGAGAAGTGAAACCATGTGGCTGAACATATATTCGAGCAACATTTCCTGTTACACGCCCTCACCATATTTGGCAGTCTGCCCTCCAGCTCATTCAGGTTAAATAGGAGTCCTTTATTTTCTCACAGATAAGATATCTGATGCCATCTATAAAGTAGAGGAATTACAATGTTACTATAAATAAACAGAAAAAAAGGTTGTCCTTATTCCACAACAACAGCAACACCTTGTGGAAACAAGCTTGAACTGTAGGACTATAAAGACTCAGATACTAATCAAACACACAGACATAGTATTGCCAGACAAATGCACACTTTGGTTGAAAGATGTTTAATGTTGCTAAGAGGCTGGTGCCATCTCACAATAAGGTGCAGTAGCTTATGCCAAATTCAGTATTCTTCAGTGAAAGTGCAAAATTATCAATCAAAGTGCTTCAGGAGACAAATGCTTTGAGTTCCTTCACAAGGAACTTTACAAAAATCAAACCTTTTATAAGTGGCGTTTAAAGCTTAAATACAACAGATGTTCCACTGATACACGACTGAGAAGAACAGTTCTAACTAACTTGTTTAAACTCTCACCACTGGTAGATATAGAGCAGCATGTAGGTGCCACCACTTGAAGCAGAAACACACATAGACTGAGGACCTACAGAGGTATCAATGGTAAGGAATGGTAAGATTTACAGTGGAAGTCTATATTGTTCAGTCACAGAAAGGTATTACCATGAACTCAAACGACAGCTCACAATGAATACCGTTTATGTTTTAACTTCTTGTTACCGCATGTGACGGGACGGTAGTCTGAGCACAGAGATGGATTGCGGCAATATGTTGATTCAAAGATCAAACTTTTTTTTTTTCCTTCGAATGCTTTTGCGATGCATTGTGATGATCAACCAGTCTTTGATTATTAAGTTGAAGTGGCCAATCGTAAGATGGAGTTGGATGCGGGACGTCCTGCCTTGGGAGACCGTTTGGTCGGCAGAGCAGCACAACATTCATTTGATCCTCTGGGCCTTCTGGGCAGACTTGGTGATTTTACCGGTGGTAGATAATTTCTTCTCCACGCCCTTTATCACTCCTACGGCCACGGTCTGACGCATATCACGCACCGCAAAACGACCTGCCAAGGGAATTTAGGGCAAAAGTTGAACAGGAAAACTTAACCCCGGTGTACTTGTTAGTTCTGATGAGACATTGAAGTAGTCAAACAAACCCCTTACAGCTGAACTTACCCAATGGAGGATACTCAGAGAAGCTCTCAACACACATTGGTTTGCCAGGAATCATATCAACGATGGCAGCATCTCCAGATTTGAGAGATTTAGGGTTGTCCTCCAGCTTCTTGCCAGAGCGGCGGTCAATCTTTTCTTTAAGCTCTGCAAACTTGCAGGCAATATGGGCAGTGTGGCAGTCCAACACAGGAGCATAACCAGCACTGATCTGGCCAGGATGGTTGAGGATGATCACCTAGAAAAGCAAAGTGGATTTCCTGTAAATAATCCTGTGTGACTTTCTGTTTATATCAGAGAGGTTTTGATCATTTTCCTTTGGGATTTATGGACAAAAAAAGAACAGCACGATGCTCATCATTGTGACTCATTGAGATACTTGTAGAAATATGCTCTTTGATTATACTTTGATGCTAGAAATACTTCTGGAAGGACAGTTTAGTATTCATTTCTATAAAAAGATTTTTGTAGCTTTTACCTGAGCTGTGAAGTTGGCAGCTTCCTGCGGAGGATCATTCTTGCTATCTCCAGCCACGTTGCCACGACGAATGTCCTTCACCGACACATTCTTGACATTGAAGCCCACGTTGTCACCTGGTAGGGCCTCCGACAGTGCCTCATGGTGCATCTCCACGGATTTTACCTCAGTGGTCACGTTAACAGGCGCAAATGTCACCACCATGCCAGGCTTTAGTATTCCCGTTTCCACTCGACCTACAGGCACAGTTCCAATACCTGAGGAAAAGGGACAAGCATGGTAAAAACAATATAAATGATTCAGTCTAGGCCTTCAGAAAATATAAAGATGCCCTTCCTGCTCATGTTCTAACACCGTCTTGATCTGGAAATTTAGAAGTGTGATACATGCCTCCAATTTTGTAGACATCCTGCAGTGGAAGACGTAGAGGTTTGTCCGTCGGACGGGTTGGGGGCTGAATAGCATCCAGGGCCTCTAGTAGTGTGGTCCCTGATGCACTACCTTCCTTCCTATTAATCTTCCATCCCTTAAACCATGTCATCTACAAAGAAAAATAACAGAGCTTAAAGAAAATATTTTTTTGCAGATAATAAGCAACACTTTATAAAGTTTTAGCCACCAGGGGCACTAAACCTGTAATGTCTGGGTTTTGCACTCCTGACAGCAACTGGCAATGCTGCACTGTCGCAAAATTAAACCATCTCCCTCTCTCTCTGCATTTTGGAATCTATTCTACTGCTGTGATGCTGCTAACTTTGTCAACGAGTAAATAACACACTTACGTTTGGGCTCGGCTCAAGCATATTGTCTCCATTCCAACCCGAGATGGGCACAAAGGCGACAGTGTCTGGGTTGTAGCCAATCTTCTTGATGTAGGTGCTCACTTCCTTCACAATCTCCTCGTACCGCTTCTGGCTGTAGTTTGGCTCGGTTGAGTCCATCTTGTTGATGCCCACGATGAGCTGCTTCACTCCGAGCGTGTAAGCCAATAGAGCGTGCTCTCGAGTTTGACCATTCTTGGAAATGCCCGCTTCGAACTCTCCCACACCTGCTGCTACGATCAGGACTGCACAGTCGGCCTAAGAATGTTAAAAAAATAAAGAATATGGACTTTACCAATGAGTGAAATCTGCACTGAAAAGATGGAGGTGGACAAACTGAAGGGATCATCCAGACCTGGGAAGTACCGGTGATCATGTTCTTGATGAAATCCCTGTGACCTGGAGCATCTATGATGGTAACATAGTACTTGCTGGTCTCAAACTTCCAAAGAGAGATGTCAATAGTAATGCCACGCTCCCTCTCTGCCTTCAGCTTGTCAAGCACCCAGGCGTACTTAAATGAACCTTTTCCCATCTGTAGAAAAAATAAAAAACATCCTTTTTTAAACACGTGACTTAAGATCTAAAATGAGAACATTATTGAATTCTTTAGGGTGAGATCATAAAATCAAAGGCATTTGCAGACTATTCTCTTGCTGTCCCCATCTGTTTTACCTCAGCGGCTTCCTTCTCAAACTTCTCAATAGTTCTCTTGTCAATGCCTCCGCACTTGTAGATGAGGTGTCCTGTAGTGGTGGACTTGCCAGAGTCCACATGGCCGATCACCACGATGTTGATATGAAGCTTCTCTTTTCCCATGATGACCACAGTTGGGTGAAGTCACCGGTCTGTTAAAGCTGCATTTAATTCAGAACAGAAAGAAATTTCATAAATTAAAACTTCTGTGTGAGACAGTTTATGTAAGACTTCAGCAAAACTGAATATGTTTCAATAGTTCACTTCAAAAAGTGAACATATGTTTATCAGATACGAGATATATTCATTAGACAGGAAAGTATGAGACTCCTTGATGACTTATGAAGACTAGTTTTTGAAAAGTCTGCATTTGTCATCTTTAAGGTAGGTGTATTGATTAAAAGACTCATTGCGGTATTGTTTTTGTTAGTTTATGATTAATACCTAAACATTATTTAGTTAGGATATTTTACATGAGGGCATCAGTGTCGCCACCTTCTGGTTGAGAAGAGGATTGTAAGTGATTGCAAGTAAAAAGTCCTCAGACAAAAGCAGCCTTAAGTAAAGTACAGATACTAAAAAAGCTACTTAAATACAGATCTAAGTATTTATTCTTAGGTATTTGACTTCTGTAGACTGAATGTATATTACTGGAAAGCTTCTGAGTCCAGATATTATATAAAGAACTTTGCAATCTGCTAGTGTCGGTCCGCTCTGTTGGATCAAGTCTAACAAATTTACAGGTATTTCAGATTATTTCACACTATACTAATTTCAGGTTCAAGCAGAATGTGACACCAACCCATAGTTCCGATAGTACCAGTGCCTGCAATAATGACTTTGCTAACACTGTGCCTTACTGGAAAACAACCTATCCTGACCTAAAACCCCAAAGAGAATCAATGGAGGATTATTAAAAGGAAGATGTAACGAGAAGAGCTGAAGGTGGCTATTGAAGCAAGCTGGCCTTCCATAAAACGGCAGCAGGGCCTGAGTATGGTCATCTTACCACACAACTTTAAAGCAGTAATTTTAATAATGCAGAATAAAAAAATTGTCTTGTAAAATATTTAAATTGACAAGGAATTTTATTTTATTGCTTGTACACCATAGTTATTACAATTATAAATAAACCCTTGAAATGAACTCATACTTGTTGTCTTTCACCTTTCAACTGAGTCATGGAGGCTCCCCAGACACATCCTCCAAATCCTCCAGGAAAAACCTGAGGCATTTCAAGGGCAGCCAAGAGACATAGGACCGACATGCTCAGGGTCGTTCCCTGGGCCTCCCAACATCTCCCTTCTTAGGGAGGCATCCAGGGGGCGTCTGTAACAGATGTCTTAGCTGACTCCTCTCAATCTGGAGGAGTGGCTCTAATCTGAGTCTGTCTCAGATTGCTGAGTTCCTCACCCTATGTCTAAGGGAGAGCCCAGCCATCATGCAGATGAAGCCGGCCGTTTTTATCCAGGATCTCGTTCTTTTGGTCATGATCCAGATGTCACGATCATAGGTGGGGGTAGGAATGTAGACTGATCAGTATAAATAAAGACCTTCACCTTTTAGGTCAGCTTTCCCTTTACAACAACAGATTATTGGTTCCTCTGTCAATTCTGCTCCATTCTCCCCTCAGTCAAGATTGGGACCCCAGATACTTCAACTCCTTCTTTTCTTATACCTCATCCAAAAATAGTTAGGTTATCCTGAGCTATTTTCTGTATTTCTGTTGCTGTGTTTGGGCTGCTGGATCACATAGGGACCACTTTTCCTCATTCTGATTCATTCTATCTCTATTCTCTCAATCTGCAGTAGTTTTCAAGTTCCACTCATAACTTTATGTTCTCTCTGTTTTTTCTCATCATAGTAGCTTCGTCTGGTCTGTCCCTGTTCGGCTGTAACTACATCCTGGATAGAAATATCAGCATTGCTGCTGCCATCAATATCTTTCTTTATAGATATTGGAGCTTGGCCTGTTTCCAGGGTAGTCCTGTTTATTTTATTGTGAATAGCAGAATTGGCTTGGAGCTCGTGTGCCTGGCTGTCTGTCTTTTGTGGAAGGGGCCACCTGTGGAGCTGGTTAACAGTTACCTTTCGCAACTCTGCTCCTTTTTTATGCCTGCTTCTGACTCCTTGAAGCCCAGTCGGCCTCAGCATATGGCTGCTCATACTGAGCCTGCTTATGCTGGAGGTTTCTTACTGTTAAAAGGCAGTATTTTCCCTCCTCTTGCTGCATGCATACTTTGTGTCAGGGATTGCTGAAGAGTCAACAATAAAATGGAAGCAAAGTTTGTCGCTGCAGGCTTATCTAGCAGGAGCATGTCTTCCAATTTAGTGAGTGAGTGGATGCAATCAACTGGTTTTTCAAAACAATCTGACAGTATTGTCTCTGTAAGATTCCTTAAGATTACACGTGTTGTTTTGTGCTATAGAAATAAACTGAACTGGATTGAGGCAGGAGCTCTCCTTAGACCTGAGAAGGACAAGCCACCTTTTCCATTCAAGAACAATGGCCTTGGAGTTGTATGACCTTAAACTTCATCACATACAGGTTTCAGTCAGCTGCAACCTCTCTGCATATCCTGAAATTATTTCCACTGACCAGACTCCCTCAGGCTCCTGGCTGAGCGGGGACAGAGAACAGCTCCTTCCAGAGTCCAACATGCACCTTGAAACTTCACTGAGGTATATGTAGAAGCTTCACTTCTTGGTTTGAAGTAGAAGAACCAGGGTAAATCCACTCGTGGCCCATAGCATGACTAATTGAGATGTAGCCTACTTGTAATTGATAGACAAACAATTAACTGTAGGTTTCTCAAGCAAACAAAAAAGCAGCTCAATAGTCATCAGTTTTCTGTTTATTGTTTTAATCAGAGCTCTTAACACAAATAGTTTATCTCCCAACACAAAACGCCCCTCCCCTCCCTCTCTTTGACCTTACATCAATCCTCACCCGTACTCTCATCTTTTTACATACAGCTTGTTGTGAACCTATCAGAGTTTACCAGCTAATAGTGAACTGGCATGGTCCCGCTACCTGAATCCACCATTTTGTCCTATCCATCCTCTGACAGTGCATAGCAGCCATTTCTCTGAGTCTGCAGCTCTCTGCATAAACACTATTGCAGAATAGTCTTAAATAACTAGAGAGCTGTGTTGATTGTCACCTGATAGTTTTTCCTTCACGCACTGCAAAGTTTGCCTTTAATTATTCATGCAGAGCGTCATGAAAGTCTGTGTAATTGAAATGCTCCCATAGCAGAGATGCATAGAGATATGATTCTATCCAGACAGGTTTCAGTGGGCTCAGTCCCAGGACAGCTGCCACTTCTGTGTTCAACTGATCCCTCAGAAATGACGTCACACCGCCTGCCGCAGTGCGCATCAGCTCATAAAAGCCGCTCAAACTGCGCAAAAAAGCCCCTCCACTGCGCTAAAACTAATTTGTGAGGGAATTAGTGGTAAAGTCGACCCTCCGCCATGTTCTGTCATCTGCCTGCTCCCTGGGTGCGTTTTTAATACCAGCAGCCTGCCTCCTGCACTGGATCGCTTCAGAAAACAAGCAAAACACACGACGCTGGTTAAAAATAAAAAAAAAGCCTCAAAGAGATCCTCATCCAGAACTAAAACCAGACTCTCCTCCTTTTAGTTCTGGATGTGGTGCGTCGTACCTGAGAGCTGGTCGGTGTCAGGTTGGGCTGCAGGAGCTGAGAGGCTGCAGAGAAACGCTGATCCGTTTATAGCTGTCAGGACAGGCGGGGGGAGGATTGCGTAACTGCGCACAACAGCAGCCTCAGCATCCCAGAGAGGAAAACTGCTCCTTAACCACTTAATAATAGAATTATTGACTTCCATTTATAACTTTAAACAATGAAATGTAGAAAATGTGATTTACACAGCAATCTGACTGATAACTGAATGCTGCAGGTAGTGTTCCTCTCTCCAGACGCTTTGTTGGATTACCATTAACCCAGACGTCCTTTAGGCTTATCTACTGCGCCTGCCTGCTAATTAAAAATACATAAAACAAAAAAGAAACTAAAAGCTATAAATCTAACTGTTTGAATTTCAAAAATAGACACATATTCCATTTTATATAATTAAATGGTCATGGGAGGTTCTAGAAAGGGGCTAATTGGGGCCAGTGCCCCTGCAGACAGGGCCCTTTTCAGGTTGGTTTGCTTGATTTCAGTGCCTAGGGGGCGCTGTTTATTTGCCTATATCCCCCTAAGGTAGCAGTAGATTCTACTCTAGTATTCCAAAAAAGTAAAAGAAAAACATTCCACTGGACTTTGTTTCCCATCAAGGAAACTTTTTCTATTCAAAATGTCAGAAATAACATTGAGTTTGAGGCTTTATGGAGTGAACCAAAAACAACACCTTGTTTTGGCTCAGAAAACATGTTAATTGAACCGAAAGGACGGGTCTGCCCCTGAGGAATGGGCAGTCAATTGGGTTCTTTGTTAGCCTGCAGTACCCATTGCCTGTCTATGTCTCTGAAAGGGGGGTCATTAGGGGGAATTGTTGGCCTGGTTTAAACAGGCCAGATGTTCTTCTCCCCTGTATAGGGGTGGGGGTTGGGATGATACCAGGAAGGAACTATTTAAGACATTGAAGTAGGCTATCTTTGTGCTCATTGTTCTCTGAACATTTCACAGTACTTTTTTTTTTATTTTGCCACAAACTGTATAAGATTTAAAACAGGAATTTAACAGGACCCTTCTAGAATAAATGATCTATGCCTTGAATTCAACTGTTTAAATTATAAACAACAATGTGTCCACCTGTCGACTCTGACCAGCCTCCCTATCCGAGGTGATGCATTCCCACAGCATGACGGTGCCAGAAGTGTTGTCATCAGGGCTAGTGGTATCATCTTTTTCTATTTTTGCATGTTTCCTTTTTTGATGAAGGATCAAACAATGCGATGAGATATGGTTTTACAACCTGACCCTAATTTAAACGTCTCTGTTTGTACCTTGATGTCCTTAAACTTTACTATTAGAAGACCTGACATTAGAGCGGGTAAAATAAGTTCTGAAATTTTAACATCTTCTTTTTACCAGTAATCGACGAAAAGAAATTAGAGAAAATGAAGCATCACATAAAGTTATGGGATAAAATTGGAGTAAGCATTGAGTGAGTGACTAAGTGCATCAAATGCTAAGGAGGTCTCCTGTTTGTAGAAACTATTCTCATGCTTTACCCAGGTTTTATTTTAACCCCATTCTTGGGATTTTGTCATGCTTTAAACACATTTTATTTAAGAATTTCCTAGCAGTGAGACACCATGATGTTTCACCAGTAAGGTTCCCTTTTCATTTTGAGGAGAATGATTCCTCCTCCAAACATGAGTTCAGGGACATCTTAAAGGGTTCAACTCTGGCCTTATAGGCCAGATTAAATTCGCCAAGTGTTTCTCTAACTAGTCCAAACCTGCTGGAAACGTTATAAACTTCCACATGATCTTTCTTTGGTAAGTGTGAGTAGATGACATTGCAGGTAAATGTGTTACTTCTTGTCCTCATAGAAAAAAAAGAACCTTAGCTTGCTGGATGATTGATTCATTTTATGCATCTGTCAGAAATATTGTGAGAGTTTATAATGAGATACTGGTAATGATTTAACCTTCCATGTTATGGCTGTGGCCTAAAAGCCGTTTAAATGGCTTTAATTAAGTTCAGCAAATTGTCATTTTTATTAGTAAAGATATTTGATTTTTTATTGTAACTGCTCTTAGTTTTAACAGGCCATACATTATTAATCCAGCTGGTTTTGATTTGCAAATAGCATTGCTTTATAAATCCTGAATATTTCAGTTTGTTTCTACCAAGTCAATCATTTTTTTTAAACTCTAAACTTAGTTTATGGATATCTGACCAGGATTTCTTTGTATGTTGACCTCTTTCATCTTATTCTAATGGTTCCTTAGAAGTATTTAAAATGAGAAAAACATTTTAATCAGTAATATTTCTACCCCAAGTATATAGACATAAAAAACAAGCAGAGTGTATTTGTAGTGCCAGGTTGGAATGTCCCTATTTTATGGTTTTGTTATTGTAAAATAATAAAAACTCAAATCTATTGTATGATGTTCTGTTCACTGATTTATTTGTGGTGGTCTTTGACAGTGGTTCCCAAACCTTTCTTGCTGGTTGTAGATATTACAATGAAATAAACCGGGCAGAGTAGAAGCTCTGTTGCCCTGCAGCAAGAAAGTTCTGGGTTCGAATTCTGGCCCAGGGTCTTTCTGCATGGAGTTTGCATGTTCTCACCGTGCATGCATGGGTTCTCTCCTGGTACTCCGGCTTCCTCCCACAGTGCAAAAACCTGTCTGTTCGGTTGACTGGCTTCTCTATATTGTCCTTAGGTCAGAGATTAAAAATTTGTACACAACCAGTGTTCAGGCCTGAAGCGAGAGAAAATGGACGGATGGAATAAAATTTACCACGACCTCCTTTAATTTACAAATCTGGCACCTTTAAAGAATAACTATTTTAAGTTTAACTATTTGTTTGATGGTGTAACAGAAATAAAAGGCCAATAAAATAAAAGTTTGTTAAGAAACTGTTGGCAAAGCTGTGATGGTATTAATCATTAATCAAGTGTTTTTTTTTTTTATTATTAAAAAGTCAATGTACGTAATCAAAGCCTTCCTGTAGCAGAAAGAGGGCGCAATCATTTTCTTTTCTAGTCGAGGACCAACATAAGTTCGGTGAGTTACATATCAAGGTTTTTTTTCATGTAACCACTTTGGTCCAAACTTAATATCCTTTAGGTTTTTCTAAATCCATTAATAGAATAATAAATAAAAACTCAAAACAAGTCAGGTTTGCCAATGGCTGTATTGGATTCATTTTTATAAGATGACAATGAATAACATTTTCATTATAATTATTTCCCATCATATGCTTTACATTACACTGAATTAACAGAAAATCCCTTTGATTCCTTGGATATCAACATAGAAACAAGATTAAGAAACATAAAAACATAGAATGCGTCATCTATGCTGGATCAAAAATCTTTTTAAATTAAGGCACAAGTGCATTACCTTAGTTTCCATAATGTTGCTACTTTTTTAAAGCAATGTGGATATAACACATTGTTTTGAGTAATTTAAACATTGATTTGAAAAAATAAAAAACATTTAATTCAGTTGATAAACAACCTTCTCATTTCATGTATGGCATAAAACTCCTGAGAAAAGGGCGTCCATCCTTTGGATGAGTCTTTTTAAGCTTAGTCCACCTTTAACCTAAACTAATCTATTCCCTCATTAAGAAAACAAAAGCTTATACACAACAAATAATGTTTCTTTAAGTAAATGAGCCTTACTTGTAAGAAGGTTTGTGGTGAACAATCAATTAAAAAAAGTAAACTTAAAGACTGATATGATTCCCTAAACAAAATTACATTACAATAAATGTTGCAGGTAACCACAAAAAACAGCTATAAAGTCATGTTAACATAAGCATAATTTCTTTCCCTTTCTTTAGATAAACGATGTGCTCTCGATTTTAAAATCAGAACTATAGCATCCATTTTTGTCCTGACACTTCAGCCCAATTCCTAAAACAAAACAAAGTTAAAATATAGATAAAAATGAGACAAATTCCTGGTTTGTTTGTTTTCATTTAAAAGGACTTTGCATTTTCTAAGCCTTACAGAGAAATTTAAAATGTCCTTCCCGATCGTCTATGTGATCTAGTTTAGGGTTTTTGTATAATGACACATTTAAAGCAACAGTAACGTTGTTTCTGTAGATTCATAAGCACCTAACAAAGCTTAGATAACTAGTTAGGATCCAGACTAACTAACTAACTGGCCCTTTACACAGAAACATTTAGTCTCTGGCTTTGTAATTTAGCAGCTTAACTTTAAAATTAAGTATGCACTCAGGCTTTCCATGGGCTGCAGGAATACCCTTTTAATACTTAATCATTTTCTTTAAAGGAACATGTGGTCAATCTTCAAATGAAGTTTTACCTTCATCCTAATCTGGGTCTTCATTAGCATGGCGATTCTCTAAAGTATGACCTTTAACTCCAACATGTTCCGGACTAAATGTTCCTTCTGAATGAATCTGTGGACGAATCAGTCGCCGTGAGGATAGGATGTGTGGACCGCCCAGGGTTGCACGTTCCCTCTTCCAAACAGCGTGTAAAACAGTGCGCCAAACACGTTGATGCCGGCGGCGATGTAGAAGACGGTCTGCCACTCCTCTATAGTGTTCTGTGTGATAATTAATGCAGAAATGAATACATAATACATTCATTTATTTGTTCCAATTTCCTCTTTTGACAACAAGGTAACATCTTGGTTAGAAAAGGAGATAAAAACTATTCCTCCAAGTATTTTATTTGAACTTTGAAATGAAAATAACAAGTTTGTTCATTTTTTTCTATTTGACACTCAAATATACGACTTGGCTGAATAAAAAATAAAAGCTGAATTCACATAAAAAGTAGAAATGTGCTTAAGAAACAGTTTGCATTGTAGCTGGCCCACTATTTGAAGATGAGCGCCCCAAGTGGTCGAAAAATTGCAATGTATTTCTTTTAAAGCTCAATACATTCTTTATTGTTGGGGTAAAGCTGCTGAGTGGATTTTTAAAGGTATAATTAGAGAAGCTAACTCAGCCCTTAACGGAAGACGGAGGGTTTCAAAGATGAAGCGCATACTTACATTTTGTGTAAGGGCTCTTGCTATGACTGGTCCCACCATGCCAGGGATGGTGGCAAAAGTGTTGGTGATTCCCAGCAGTATACCAGCATACCTATAAATAATACATGCATATTTAACCTTAATTTATAGTTTACAACAAAAATACACCACAACAAAAAAAAATCTAGTTTTTGATCCCTTTTCTTAAAGACTTTTCTTTGTTTTTTCAGTAAGCTCTTACACTTGCAGGACACTTTATCTGGCATTTAAAGAAAATATCACATCCCTACAATTCAATCCATTAGGACACCTCCAGAATTAGCATCAGCCTGCAGGTTTTAATGGTTTTAATTAAGGGGAAAACAATCCAAACCTGTCTTGATCGGTGGGAAAAAGTGATTGCCCCCTAAAGCTAAACCTAATATTTGATTGGGTTACCATCAGCAGCAACAACTGCATCAATCATTTGTGATAACTTACATTTATGGTAGTCTTTTGCAGTGCTGTACAGGAATTATACTCACTCATCTGAACAGAATTAGTTTAATTCAACCAGGCACAGCCTGAGTTCAGCTCAGCATTTAAATTTGAAATAAATTCTGAAAAATGTATTTCAAATAAAAAAAGGGGGGGGGCAAACACTGTATCTATTGTTGAGAGTTGGGACTTATCCTTACGAAGGAGCGATGTCGAGGTGGTTGATATTAAACCCAGAGGCAGAAACTCCACCCAGAGCAGAGGAGAGGGTTAGGAATGTCACAGCCAAGCTGTAGTTACAGCCGGTATAACCTGCTGCCACCAGGAACACCGCTGGTCCAATCATACCTGTAGAAATGGGACCAGAACATCTAATTACTTCCATTTATCACAGATTTTTAAACTCCAAACTATCTAAATGTTGGTTACCAATCAGAGAGAAGGATTTCCTGACGATGACTGTCGGGTAGAGGCAGGTTTCTCGTAGGTAATCAGCAACTTGGCCGCTCAGCACAGCCATGAGAGCACAGCCCACGTACGGCAGAGCTGAGAGAAACCCGTTCTGTCAGGAAAAAAATGTTCTTTCATCATTGCCTGCCTGGATTTATTAGCCAAACAAAAACATACTTTTGTTTCTCCCAGTAAGGCATTGCTACCTGCTGTATGCTGAATCCCAGTATGTCACTCATATAAGTCGGCAGGAGAGTGAGAAGTGTGTAGAAGGTCCAGTTGTAGGAAAAGTGAGCCACAACGATGGCTAACAGGGGAATAGATGTTACGATGGCTCGCCAGGGGATGTAGCCTGCAGAGTGGGACAGCTGGAAAAAAATGGATGACTAAATGAAAAACGGAAAAAAAGCATCAAAACATTTCTTTATTTGATGTTACATGAAATTGTGGAAGCAGTTGTGCCCTTATTAAGCAATGTATCTCATCCAAACCAATAGCTGCACTTTATCTTCCAGCTAAACTCAGGGTTTCCTCAAAGGATGCAAATAAATGCAAAATTAACTTCTGAGATAAAGAAGTGAAAATGTATTAGAGGTAGAGGTACACTTTGTCTCCCCCTGCTGGTGTAAAATATAAGCCGTTTTCTCAGCTGAACAGGGGTCCTGAGTGATTAAAATTTAACAGAACAAATAAATTTAAGAAACAAAATTATTTTTGCCTTTACCTAATAAAAAATGACAATTATATTTTAATAGTGTGTGATTTTAAGAAATTACGTGTGTCTGGTTAGAATTATAGCTTGAAATTGAAATTTTGCTCCACAAATTGTTGTTCTTGTCATTTTTACACTTCAAAAATTCCTCACATAAATATGTGACAAACTTTAACCTGCATCATACATGTTAACTATACTTTATAAATCCCCTTTAAAGTAGAGAGTAGCTGTAAATTGGACGGACTGAAGCCGCTCTGTTAATAGATTGCCTTCTTGCAAAAGAAAAAGGATGCAGTATGTTCTTCTTTATAACTCATTCATTAAATTCCATAGTCCAGATTATTCCCACCGACTATCTTTCATCTATGAGTTCCCCGGACAGGATGGTGTATTATTTGAATTATTATCTGAATTAAAGTAGAAACAAAAAGATCATTCAATAGAAAAACATTAAATATCTACAGCAGATGTTTCAAAAGTTGCTTGTTAGGTTTTACAGTACAGAGCAGCTGATGCACGGCATGTTAACCTGCTGTGGTTGAACGTTAGACATGAGCTGTTTATCAGCTGTGGCAAACTGCTGATTCATTGCTAGTTTGGTCACAAGAATGAAAAAACAGGACGAACAACAAACTTCTTTAATTTAATTTGCAGATATTTTCTGACAGCAGCTCAGAATCATTTCCAAAGGCATTTAGTGATACCTCATTTTTCAGAGAATTGATGATGTAGAGCCTCTCCTGCTCTGATATACGGGGATGACTGTTTGGACTGTCAAAGACGAAAAAAGCCCACAGGAAGAACCACACCGAGCCGACCGCACCTGGACACACACACATACAGACACATGACTTCACACCGACATGTGACTTTTATAGATTATTGTGTTTAGAAAGGATAGCAAAGAGGCCTTCAGTCAGCAAAAAGTAAACGCAGTGGAAATTGTAATTGGTTTTTATCCACCAGCTGTTTCCTCTTTAATCTGCCTAATCATTGTTTCCAAAGAGGAACCAGAAACTAGCTGATAATGTTGACCTATCACTGACAGCGGCTTCCATCACTTAGACATCAGGTATTTCACCTTCTCAGTCTGCTTTGTGTTTAAATCTCACACATCTTTCTCATTTAACTTCATTTAAAGAACACATCAAATACTAATAAACTGAATTTTCACATCTAATAAAACAGACAATCAGACAAACAGCGTATTTGCTTAGCAGAGATAGTTTGTATTGATTGCTAAAAGGCCATCTAGAGGTCTGTTGTAACCATTACAGCACATCTGCTCTGAGTAGCAGATAAGAAGACAGATTATTCTTCCACTACTGACATTCCAGACAAATTACCAAAGAGGTAGAAGACATAGGGCCATCCCAGATAGAAGCAGATTTCACCAGACAGAGGAAGGGCTACGACGGTACCCAGCTGGGCTCCTGGGATGGAAGAGAAAAAAAACAGGAAAGCATCAGTCATCAATTGCTGTGGAAATACTGCAGGACTATTAAAACATAGTCAACTACTAATGGTGATTGGATTACAGAGGTTTAAAATCAGGTATTTAAAGCAGGGGGTTAAGCAGGACTCTGAGCATTAATAAGGACAAATTGTTGTGATAAACTGTATAAAATCATTAATTAGCAACAGAAGTCCAGCGATCCTGAAAGGGTGATCAACCTGAATCACAGATACCGTTGCTTTCAGTGCACTATGCAGTAAACGACCTAATCAAATTATACTTCGCAATTGGATTTAGCTCTAAGGAAATTCTCGTGATTTCAGTTCAGAATCTCCATATCATCATAAACATCCGGACTTGGAGGAGACACAGCAGCGAATTCAGCCAAACTGAAGAGAGCAAACATGTAGATACGTTACAGCTGGAAGAGAACAGCGGCACTGTATGCTTTAGTGGTTTACAGCAGAGTTAAATGACACATGGACTGAACACAGAAACATGCTTTCAAGACTGAGATTATTAATCCAACCTCTGTTAGCTGATACATTAATGTAGAGAGCAGAAGGATAAGTCCAAAGTTTATTATGTGTTAAAAGAATTTTAAAGTCCAAGAGCTGCAAACGATACGTTTTAAAAATCTTTTTTAACATTACTTATGGTCCAAACACGGCTTCAGAAACACATTAATCCTGTATGGCTACTAACCGATGTATGAAATGGTGAGCAGTCTGCTTCTTTCCAGCGGGGGGGCCCATGCTCCCCACATGGTATACATCGCAGGAAACGTGACGCCCTGGATGCAAAAAAAAAAAAAAAAAAAAAAAAAGAATCAAATAAAACTGCTGAATTTTAGGAAACAAATAGAATTGGTTTCTTGTTTTTAAGTTTTTCATATACAAAGTGCAGAGAATAAGTATTTGTATCCTTTGTGGGACTTTGGATGATGTGATATGGCCTTACAACAGATTTTCAACTAGATCTGGACTTTGACTAGGCCACTATAATAGATGAACAAGCTTCAATCATATATCTTGCTTTACAAAAATTCCATTTCATCAGCTTCTAATAGGTTTCCTATTGGGATTTCTCTTCCCATTAACTCAGAACATTTCCCTTCTCCCTGTTTAAAAAGAAACCTTCCCACAGCATATTGGTGCCTCCACCGTGTAGAGATGATGCCTTCAGGGTGACATTCAGTTTCTGCCGCTCAAATAGTTTAACATGTGGTTTATACTGTGGTTTATCACACATAGATGGGTTCTGTTTAACCATAAAATGATTTCAGGCAGAACACAACTGCAATGGATAATTTTACAACAATGCACCAGTTTGAGTTTATCTCATAAAATGAACTGAAGCTGTTTTCTCGTGTAGCGGAGCATGAAAAAATGTAAGGGGTGTGAATACTTTTGCAGAGCCCTGCAAAGGTTTTAGTGAACTCCAGCTGTTAGTAAACATAAAAGACCATAAATCTGTTGAAGATTCACACGAGGGAGTTAAAGTGCTAATGGTAACAGGCTGACCATCATATTCACAGCGATTCTGAGTCGTCTCAAAGAGAAAAGAGTTTTTAACTCTTAGTGCTTTGCTCAGAGCCTCTCTAAGCAATGTTTTGACAGAAAGCGTTCCTCTCAGTGAGGAGGTGTGGTTTACCCTGTTGCTAGGTGGGAGCCTGTCCTCCAAGAGCTGTGATTGGCTAATTGGCTAATAATTGGGCTCAAATGTGGTTAATAAATGTGTGTCATTATGATAAAACATGATGATGAAGACTTATTGTACCTCATTTAGATCCTCATTATTTGAATTTGTTTTTTGTGTTTACTCGCTATACTCTTTATTCTCCTACCTTTTTTTTTTATTTAATATTAATGGGAACACAGCTGTCAGCATTTTACTTTGATTGCCTGCTTGAATGAAGATCTGTGTTTAGCAAAACAACTATTAAATGAAGAAAATCAAACTGATGAGAGGAGAAGAAGTCACAATTTGTTTCCTTTGGCCCGTTTCATGAATTTATTTTTTAATGATCCTGCTGAAGCAGAGCTGAGAAACAATTTCCATGTTCAAAAAAATTAAGATTTCTTATTCATTTAGTCAAATTTAAGATGAAACCCACTAGCTAAACAACAAAGAATGAAATTGCAGAATTCTTCTGTACACAAATAAAATCATTATTACTTCAGCGTTTGGTTGAGGTGCAGGAAACAATGCTGAGGATATAAACTCTGTCAGGATGCCTTCCTGCTGCACTGCTCCTACACTGACCCTAGCACCACAGTCAGAATCAGGGAAATTAAATAATAAAATTGTTTCACAGTACCCGCAGCTTTAGTTAATAGATATGTGTTTTTAAAAAGAAAGTTCTGTGTGGGAGTGTAAGAGAGAGGCCATTATTCCTCTTATTTGTGCAATAATAAACCCTGCGAAGAAAAACAGGCTAACCATGTGTTTGGCTCATTCAATGAGATGTTTCCAATTCTGCAAAGTATTAGTGACCCTAATTAGTTGACCTACCTCTCCGATCCCCTCCAGCACTCGCACAGCAATGAGGTAACCCGCACCCAGATCAGCAGCCAGAGGCGTGAGCAGCGTGAAGAGGGCGGTTCCCAGAATACCGAATCCCATCAGCCACTTCGCTCCACAGCGGCTAGCCAGGTAGCCCCCCGGGATCTGTGTCAGGATGTAGCCGTAGAAAAAGGAGCCGAGGATCCAACCCTGGGTCGCAGAATCCCAGTTGTACACGTTGGCCTGAAAGACGGGTTTTTTTAATCGACTTAATCAAAGCATTTAAACTCAGCGCATTCTTCTTTTTCTTAATTTTCCCCAAAAGAAAACCAGATTGCATAAACACACCATGGTACATTTTCTGTCTAGTCATGTAAAGGAGGAAACATACTTAACCAGAAATTCACTGGAATTATGTTGCAGCCACAAAGTTGACAAGAAGTGAAAAATGTCCCAGTTCCCTTCAGATGTGGTTAAAGTACCCACCGACTGGTTGTGCTTGGGCTGAATAGGATCGTCATGGGAGGCGCACACCAAGCCACTGTGGTTGTCGCTGGATTGATGGGTGTTGTTAAGCATGTCCACCATCGCCACGCTGAGGTTCACCCTCAAGGAGTAGACGACAAAGAAGCCATAGCTGGAGAGCAACGCCAAGCTGTAGCGCGACGAGCAACATGCTGGGGCTGAAGGACGAGGGAGGAAAAGAAGAGCAGAGGACCAACGCTCCGTTATTCACCAAAGATTCACTAGTGTTGCACAATTAGAAACAGAATATGATGTCTAGTAAGAATGATGGACAAAAAACTAAGGTTCATGCAAACTTTTTCTAGGAAAAAAGATTAAAGTTCAGATTTTTGAAATCAGCAATAAAGAATTAGCAATTTATATAACTTTTTTCTCTTTTTTTTCACTTCTAAAAAATTTTCCCTACTCTTTAGCATTTTAAGAAGATTGTAGTGGAAAAGGTATTCAACTATTCATCCTAGTTAAATAAACTCAGTCGGCACTTTATCATATCTTTGCAAAGAGAGAACAGTTCATTATACGGCCCTTATGCACAGTATTTAGCTCTGTTCCAATCCTTCAGCCACTTTTGGTCACTTTTCCCTCTCACCACATACTTTTCTGATCACCATATTTTTTTCTCAACATGCTTTTGCTTTTTAATTTGAACCTGTTTCTCTGAGGGGCTGAGGTGATTTCCTGGAACTTTGCCTTTCTTCTAGTGTTTAAGAACTGCCAATCTGTCCCATTATCTACAGGTAATTTACCAATTTCCTAAATGCACACCAATCCTCTGGGGCCGACCTGGATAACTGGGGGGATCCCACTCTAGATTACCGACGTCTCAGTAAAAATAAGTACCTTCTGGTGGCACCTAGAACCTTCCTCTCAGTGCTTAGAGAGAGCCCCCACGTTCCTATGCAAGGGTCTTTCGGTTCCCAAGTGGAAAAAAACTAAATCTACCTTTTGTCCCCAGCAAAAACTGTTCTGTTACCTCTACCGTATATTAATTTTAAATCTAAAACTAGTTGAGTCATGCCAACTGAAGATTTCTCATAGTCTCAAAAACATCAGTTGGTAATCTCCTGCTGACCCCTGGAAACATTAAGTCAGAACTCCTCCATCTTTTACGGTTGAGGCCAGGAATTAATCGCAGGTTAATCAGACAATTCTGTCATAACTAAAATATCTAGTCGAGGAGATCCTCGACGTGACAGCGCCAAATTGTTTTTCTGTAATTTTAATTCATTTTTAATTTCACCTTATTTTATGCACCACTTTCTTTCTTTAATAATTTAATAGTTATAGCAAGAGTTATTAATTTCCTGTAAGACTTTAGAGTTTTATTTCTTTAAAAGCACCATTGAAATTAAAATTCATTATCATTACTTAGTACAGTGTAATTATGTGTAATGTAAGGTTTAAACACTGCTTTTTGCCTTCAGTGTGTGCATCCACCCAAGTTAAAAATATTGAGGGTGGATGCCATTCCTTCACCTTTAATTAATTACTTGTAGTTTTAAAATGGAAATAAAAAGCTGATGTCTCTACTAAAGTTACTTGGCTATGGCTGCAATATCAAAACGATCCTTCCACTGTTTCCTAAACATTTTAATTCAAACAACAAATGTAAAATAAGTTGAAGGTTTTAAAAAATTCCATTGAAATAAACCCTTTTAGTCCGCTAAATTACCTCAGTAGTTCAATGTGATATATTTAAGATCAGACCAATAATTATATCAAGGAAAACAAGGGCTTGGTATAATAATTAACCAAAAACAACAAAAGAGGCTCGTTTAACAGAATGATAACCTGACAAACAGCAGCCAATCGTTATTTGTTTTAGATAAAATGTTGGTTTAAAGACAAATCCCTTAGAAGAAAGACACAAATAAAGCTTTAAGCGGAACTAATTCCTGTTTGTCAAACAATTATACAGAGAATCAATTATACAGAGACTTAAAATGCAGAGATTTCTAGAATTAAATGCATATATATATGTTCTTCCAGGTGTTTTTTTTTTTCTGCTGTAAATTAATTTTCCCTTTTAATTCGAATGTGTTCATGTCTCTAGAATGCAGAAGTCATTTTTAATGCTGCAGTTCATTCATAGTCAAACTGCACTGCCAGATAAACCTCCTTATAAGGCGCAGGTATGAAATACTCTGCTACTTTATCAAGATCTGCATTAAAATTAGAAAGCACCACCTCCCCAAATAAAATGTACAATATCAGGACACAGTTTGCAAAGAAATCCACTTTAAAAGCTGCAGTTTGTGTTTCTCATGTCTGCAGCTGAGCTGCTGTGTTTCCTGTCTGCAGGTGTGTAAATAATGAGGATCAGTTAAACCTGTTTTATGACAGCTGACTGACTCTTAGCACAGCTGGTGCTGGAAAAACAAAAAACACCTGAGCTTCGATTAATGAATCCATGAAAAGTTGGCAACGCCAACAACTGGTGCCGAGGAGGGACAATCTGTTGGCTTTTATCCCAATAATGCAAAAGATAAACGCCCTCTGATTATAAGCAGATTTTAAAAATACCTGTTAGATAAACGGAGAGTTATGTCTACTGCTTCCTTAAAAAAAAAAAGAAAGAAAAAGAACCGGACCTACGACTTAAATATCTGTTAGAAGAAGCTTCATGATGTTAGCTTTTTAACAGCAGCAGAGTTGTTTTACCTCTCTGGATTTTCCCTTCCTGTTTTCGCCGAAGGAGCGGTTTCTGCTGCTCGTCTCCATCGCTGTCAGACTCGTACCGCTCCATGTTTTCAGCAGAAGGCGACTAGAAGAGGAGAAACCAGCAGGTAGACGCAAACATCGCTGGAGACAATCAGATAAGCGGAAGTTTAACGACCAATACAAACGGAGTCACGTGATCCCAGTCAGCGGACCCGGAAGCGGTGGCTTTGGTATGGCAAGCAAATTTACCATGTAATAGGCTCTTAATAAAACAGTGCCGTGAAAAAAAAAATAGAATCCCTGCCATAATTTTTTCTACGGAGCCCCTCTGATGACATGGTCAAAAAAATGTCTAATTGTGGCCACGAAGTAGTATTTCGTGTGCACGAAATACTACTTTGTGTTTACGAAATACTACTTCGTGGCCACAATTAAAAAATTTTTTTGACTGTCATCAGAGGGGCTCCGTATTTTTCTTAATTTCTTTGCTTTTTTTTTTTGTTACATTTGCTAATGAGGTTCAGTAAAAAAAAAAAAATAAACAAGGAAAGTAGTTTATCCAAACTAACCCCCCACTGTAATAATGATAATATGGACTCCGCCAGTGCTAAACTCCTCCGAATAGAAGAATAGAATAGAACGTTGTTGATCTCACAATGGAGAAATGCACTACCTTACCTTTTTTTTTTTTTTTTTTTTTACAGTGTCCTGTCTGGCAATGGGGCAATAAGATTAAGATAATAAGATAATTGTCTCAATTGCTTTCACAAGTGGAGCAGTAGGGCTATCTCCGTAGTGTTCCGCTTGATTTATGCATATAAAAAGCTTTATTATTATTCATGCAGGCAGTATTGCAGATTATATGGACACTGCAATCTAAGTAGGACAGGAAAGAAAAAACAGAAAAACTTTCAGTCTAGAAAACTCTTTCCAGATGTTCAGTGAGAATCTATGAATGATCGAATGTGGATCTAAATGACTGATGATGATAAATAGAATCCCCCTTTGTGTAATCAAGTCTCCGTATAAATGCAGCTGCCCTGTGATAGTCTCAGAGGTCTGCTTAAAGCGCAGAGAGCATCATGTAGAACAACGAAAACAGCAGGCAGGTCTGAGATACTGTTTTGGAGAATTCAAAGCTGGATTTGGATACAAAAATATTTCTCAAGCCTTAAGCATTACAACGAGCTTTGTGCAAAAGATAATATTAAAATGAAAGGAGCACCAGACACTTGCAAATCTACAAAGACCCATGGGTGAAGACTGATCAGAGATGCAGCCAAGTGTCATGAAGCGTTGGTTTCACTAGCCCATATGCAGACTCACAGACACAGAGGGAGGATAAAAGTCCAATATTTATTGGAAACCAGAAGCAGCTGCAGGTTCAAGGCTCAGACAGGCATGGTGGCACAGGTAAGACACACGATCCAGCACAGAGAGAAATTCACATACAGCTTATATAGGGAGCTTCCTTAATCAGCAGAATATCAAACAGCTGATCAAGCTAAGTCCAAGCTCCCCAGGCTTGGATCCACGGCGCCCTCTGGTGGGCAAAGTCCCGGATCCTGACACCAAGAGGCCCATGATCACTCTGGATGAACTGCAGAGATCTAGAGCTAAGGTGTGAGACTCTGTCAATGGGAAAACAATTAGTCGTATAATGCAGAAAGCTGGCCTTTATGGAAGAAAGCCATTCCTTAAAGATATCCGTTAAAAAGATTTGTTTAAAGTTTGCCACAAGCCACCTGGGAGACACAGCAAACGTGTGGAAGAAGGAGCTCCAGTCAGATTAAACCAAATTTAACTTTTTGGCAACAATGAAAAATGTTATGCTTGGCATGGAAAGTACCCTGAACTCACCATCCCGGTCAGACACGGTGGTGGCAGCATCATGGTTTGGGCCTGCTTTTCTTCAGCAGGGACAGGGATGGTTAAAATAGACGGTAAGAAGGACGGAGGCACATACAGGACCATTCTGGAAAGAAACCAGTTGGAGTCTGGAAAATACCTGAAACTGGGATGGAGCTTTATCCTCCAACAAGACAATGATCCAAAACATAAAGCTAAATCTACAATGGAATGGTTCACAAAGAAACATATCCAGGTGTTAGAATGGCCACGTCAAAGTCCAGACCTGAATCTAATCGATAATCTCTGGAAAGAACTAAAAACTGTTGTTAACAAACGCTCTCCATTCAACCTCACTCTTGCTGTTTTGCAGGAAGAATGAGCAGAAATGTCAGTCTTTCAATGTGCAAAACTGAAAGAGACATAATCCAAGTGACTGTAAACACAGCAAAAGTTGCTGCTACAAAGTATTAACTTGAAAGGGCCGGATAATTTTGCACACCCAATTTTACCATTACCATTACCATGTATGTCGACTCACTGAAAGTTAATTTAAAATAACAAAATGTTTTACATTAATGTAGTGATACTTTTAATCATTCAGTAGATATATATCAATATAGACTGATGTATTGTTTTACTATTTTCATCCAAATGCAGACTGAAGAGTTTAACCGAATTATCAAAAAAGGAGACTGCTAGCAGATGAACTTTAAAAATGTGAATTTATTGGAAAACTGATTTTTTAAGCACCATGGGCATGTAATTCAAATTGCATTTTCCCTGAACTCAATTACTGAAAAAAAGACAAGTTTTGGTTTGTTTTGTACAGAGAAATGAAGAGCGCATACTTCTTTTACATACTCACATGCAACGACAGAATCAGATGATGTGTGGGAATTACGTAACCTTAAAACACAGGTTTGTTGTTAAGTTGAGGAGCAGCTGAGCTGTCTCTGGGGCTTTATTGTCTGGGGGAACCAAAAAGAGACGCATCCAGTGAGTAAGACGAGAGAAAGACAGAAAGGTGGTGAAAAACCAAAAGATAAACAGTGAGCTGTGAGCTATAGGCCAAATTCTCACCGCATGTTCAAGTGCATAAACATAAACTCACATATGTATTAAATGGTCAATTCTTTATTTAAACATTTACTTTAATAGTAATTAAATTTAATAAACCTCAGCTGTTCTGTAAAGAGTTCTGTGATTTTGTTGAATAAAATGGAGAAAACCTAAGTGTAGAAATCCAGAAAGAAAGCAAGCAGCAGAAAGCAGCAGAGGAGTTTTACAATGAAGGGAGGTAAACCAGGAGAATAAACACAGATAAAGGGAGGGTGATTTGTGTATGGAAGAGCATGTTAGTCCATTACATTAGTTAACAGCTGTGGAGGAGCATGAACTGAGGCAGGGACAGAGGAAAAGTAACAAAGGAGCAATAACCAGAGAGAAAAACCCAGGAATTCGTAGAACAGTCACTAACATGAGTAATTGAACACAACTAAAAAACTTCTACACAGTGCATACAAGAGACAAAAAAATCTTTATTATCAGAAAAACAATAACATGTTGCAGAGACTTCAAATTGACAAGTGTCACAAATATAAAAATAGTATTTAAAACACTTTTAGACATATGAGATATTCAAAATATTTGGTGCGTATGTCAAAGCGCAGCTAGTCCAAGTCTCGCATTTGCGTGTATTTGTGATATTGTGTGAATGTTAAACTGATTATGGATAAACATTAAAGCAGAGAGTGGTCAGATGATTTGGCAGAGCACTGTTCTGATCAATGGAACAACTGCAAACCAACTAAGATATGGTAAGGCCTTTGCCCTAATAAACAGGCCCAACGAGCAGAGCTTTAATAGGAGATCAGCCATATTTGGCAGTTAACATGGCAGTGGCAGTATCATGTCATATGGGTTTAGGTTGTGTGACTGTGGCAGACCTTCACTTTGCAACAGGGCAGTTATAGAAGGCTTAAACTTAAAGAACTTGTGGCAAAAAAAGAAAACTTCTGTTCACTGATACTATCTGCACTCTTTGCAAAGAGGAATCTGAAAACATTCAATGAAGAAAAAGAAACAATCAGAAATATGCTGTAAAAGACTTACAACTATGACTCTTCCAAGAAGCAGTTGAATGGATTGATGTGTCCACCACTGTAACACTAACAAACCAAAAAAAAAAATGGTTTAAACTGATGCACATCTTCTTATCGTTGATTTTAAGCAAATATGCCATTCAATATGCCACTCAAAGACAAACATTTTTTTGTGGCAATGTGACAAAATTTGAAATGGTTTAATGGGAAGTGCTAGTTTTAAAAGTCCTGCAAATAGCCAGAAAATCCCTTCTTTTGAATTGAAATCCAGTCATTATTTGGTCAGAGTGGGCATTCACGCCCCTATCTTATTAGTCAGATGACTGAGCCGAAGGTAAATGGAGTGATCCCTTCAAATCGTTTTAACAATGAAACAACACAATCTTTTGATTGCCACCTTTCACAGGTTAGAGTAAATAATCTAAACAGACAGAAGGATTAGATTAAACAAAACATGAAACAGTAATGTAAACTGCATAAGTGGTCAGCACCTCAGGATTTTTACAGCTGGAAAGATTTGTTGCAAACCCAGTTAAGTGTATGACTCCCCTCACTATCCTCTGCAGGGCCCTCTTACCACAGAGAGTTGTGCATATGTGCAATTGGAAGACTTTCCCTGTCAGCTCCACATATGCATGACAGACGGTCCATCAAGACATGCCCCTGACACTGCGGCTTGATTCAGCCTCCAATTGACACTTTACAAGACCACTACAATAGCTGGATTTTCATCCACCCTGCACAGCTGAGTAAATGATCCCCAATAACAACCGGTCACGCCTCCTTAAATCTAATGAAAAAGCAACCGTTTATGAGTGTATGAAGAACAAACGTCTCCCTCTCCCCTTCTGATCTTTTATCCTTTATCCATTCAGTCGGCTGAAGACAAGGAGCTGTTTGTACAAAACGGGAATCACAGGACTCACATGCTTTAGTAAGGAGAAACTGAGAGATTGCAGCAGATGATAGACTTCCTCAGAAGAAAGGAAAGGGGCTGAGGAGCACGGAGTAAGTTTTACTTGCTGGAGGAGGACTTCAGAGCTGTGTCAGGCAAGCCAGGCTGAAAAGGACTAACAAAACATGGAGAATGATGGATCACAGTCTGAGGAGAAGGTTGAGGACATGCCAGAAGGTAAACATTTATCTAAATCAACATTTAGAACCAATGTTGGTACCTAAAATTAAATCATACTTGAAATAATGGACTCCTTGGGCCACAAAATTTTTTAATTACTAAAAAAATAAAAGCTCCAACCTTTCTTTTGCCAGTCATTGGATTATGATGCTTATAGATAAAAGCAGTCAACATATGAAAGATCTGTACTATTCCAAAAACAGTAGCTATGCCAGATAGTTAAAGATCTTTTTGATTGGGAATCGCTCCATTTAGTGGGCAAAGAGAACACAAGATGTCTAATTTCAAATTAAAATCAAAACAGACAAAAAACGGTTGTATATCTCTTTATATAATTTCTTCCCATTAAAGGGGAATATGTAAGTTTAAAACTCTCTTTTGCTCTTGCAGATAAGAAGATGTGAGACAATGTTCCTCTTTATTCTGCTGTCTGAAACAAAACAAATTGATTATTCAAATGATCAATTTGTTAGAAAAACAAGACAATAAAACAAACCCGTATTCTTTTTAATCAGTCATTGTCAAACTTTATGTAAAAATAGTAGAATTTAATATTGGAGTAATCATAGATATATCCAAATATGGAAAAACGATAACCTGGTAATGTTCTTGTAACAAGATTTTAACTCTAGAAGAAAGGATTTTAGACGTAAGAAAGGATGCTAGCATAATATACAGCTGCCTAAAACACAGAATACTCCCAGCATTTATTAGCTTTTAGTTGTTATTGAATGCCTGTTTTAAACTTTACTTAAGGAATTCTATAAACATAATTTAAAAAATGTATTAGATTTATATTTAGAGGCTGTCACACCATTGTCTGCTGTAGTCTTATGTTGGATGAATTTACATGTATTTTGAAGGCTAAGGTTCTGGTATATTTAAGGTAGTCACAGTCTTCAGCTAAAACGATTGGTGTCTATACCAAGAGTTTGTAAAGAGTCTGAAGGGGTGTTTAAATTAACCACATATAACAGCTAGAATAGCTCACTCATTAAAATGAAGGCTATGGGTCTCAGAGGTTTTTGAATTATCTTTTATTGACTTGGAGGCAGATTAATCTATAGAGGATTCACCAATATGATTTGGATAAAGATGCACATAAAGTTTATGGTTGGGGTTAAAAAGGTATCTTGAATCAAAACACGATATGAAGAAACATCTTTTTTAAAATTCACACCATTTTTCCTGCTTCCTGGATTACCAATAAAAATAATTTTATTAGTTTGACATTCTTGGGCCATTTCAGGACAGTAGCCTGCTGCGACGTCTTGACGCCAGTTCTCCCCAACTGAAGTGAAACACACAACCCTAAGGAAATTCCACACGTTGCTTTCCGTCCGACAAAAACGCTTGATTGTTGAAAAGTCGACACGCTTCCTTTTGCTCGCTCAAAGCCACACAGTATGCTGTGCTAGCGGGGATAGTCAATTATGGATGATAATATATGTGACATGCGTATTTGAGTTGACCCTCTGCAGTTTTGACAGTAGCCTCAGACTGTGTTGTAACATTTTCAACAACAAAGAGCAGCACTGTGTTTGTGGAGAACCAGAAATCAATCCTACATAATTGGCATTTAAACATCAAAATCAAAAGTCACTTTGTACAGAAAAATGTGTGAACGTTTAGATTTAGTTAGAAGTCACAGTCTTTTTGTGCATATTCTAATGAATAAAAATAATTAAAACAGAAACACAGAAAAAAAATCTTTGGGAACATTTCATCTCTCAGGCGGATGTCTAAATACCTTTCTCATGACTGGGAAGGCAAATGATCTGGAATATTTCTCATGAACTAATAAGTCATTTTACCGCATGCAGACCATTAAAATCTACAATGTGTTGATCTGATTTAATAACCAATATATTCCTTGGGCTGTGGCTGACTGAGGCAAAACTTCAGGCACCAACAGATAAAAACATTTACATTAGTAGATTTAGAGATAAACATGATTTAGTTGTTCAAATTAGGTTCTTTTCAGATGTATCTGATTCTAATGTTATTTATTGTGTTATTTATTCTTTTATTCCATATAATTTTTTTAAAAGAATCATACCCTGTTATTTTACTTTTACAATCCTTCTGAAATTGACTTTAAATTCATGTTTAATCATTTAAAGCAAAAGAAAAGATTGTTTTTTATTGATTGCTTTATAAACAGCTGATTAATGTGCAGCATATTAATGAAATCAGGTGCATTTTTGATGCAGTCTAATGACTACATTTATGAAATTTGACGTTGCATAGTTTAATTTGAAAAAACCTACAGGGGAGGTTTAGCCCCCTTAGTATTCAATGAGAAATCGCCACTGCTTGTATGAATGAACAGTTATGTTTTTTTTCAATGCTTATGCTTTATGCTTAAAGCAGTTATTCAAGATTTTCGTTGGAAATTCTCCAACGAAGAATTCTGATTTCATGAGCAGGCATTCCATTTAAGTTTTCATTTCTCAACCCAAAAGTAGAAATTAAAACTTGAGTTCATGTTACTGACCCTGATCAAGTTTTAAAAGGCTGCTAAGATTCTAAATGTTTATTTCATAAAACCTGTGACTGCCTTTCATGCAGCTACATGCTGCATCTCCAGTTTTTATGACTGGGCTGTTTAATGAAATGATCTCTCTCTTCCAGATGCAGCAGAAGTGGTGGAGGCAGCTCCCGAGGAAAATTCTCAGGTAAATATGTGGAAAATATATCTGGGCGAAAAGTAAGAAGAAAAGCTAGATATTGAAATGAACAAATTACTGTATTTAATCTTTTTATGAAGTTAGGTCTTTTTAAAGAAACCTTTGTCAAATTTCTTCTTTTTACCACTGGTGACCTCTTAAAGCTACAAAACCTTTTATGCACATTAGAAGTGACCAGTTCATGCAAACCAAACATTTTAAGTCTCTGAAAATTAATAAGGGACGACTCCTGGCCTGCTACTACTGTCAGAAACTCTAAGAATATTTTTGGATTGATGAGCAGATTTCATTCAATACCAGGGTGTGAAACTAAGTGACAGAAAATTTGTGTTGTTTATTATCAAGGTTTTAGAAACCAACTTAAAGTAAAAAAAATTATCTATGCTGCTGTACCATAAAAGAATCACAAGATATAAAAAAATAACAAAGAAATCAACATGTTTGACTGAGCCACTGATAAAAATGAAATAATAAAAGCCTACAGTAAGTAGCTCTACAATGCAGTGAAAGGGAAAATGAAACATCCGCTTTTTTCTACCCATTGCTTTGAGTTTATTGGCACTCCTCCTCACCAGAGATAAATAATACACATCAAGGTATATGAATAATTCAGTGTAAACTCCTCGGGTCTGCCGCCTCCAGGTAGATCAGCTAAAAAATATCGATGTCAGCTCTCAGAAAGTAGAAGGAAGAAAAAAAAAGGCAAACAGGACAAATGTTATATTAAGCCTCCTGCCTGATGCCTTTCACATGACTAGGAAAATGAACAACACAGAGAGATAGAAAGATAGAAGGAAGAAAAGAAAGCTGCATGGCCCACGTAACGTTCCCATGAGCTGATTCAGTTATCCCCACCAAATAAATTTAATCAGTGATACATGAGAAAACTAAGAAATGAGAAGGAGAAGAGCAAGTGGATTCAAAGTTCATTGGATGAGTTGGAATTACTGCAGGAACCACTGGCTTTGAATAAAGGAAGGCTGTTGATACCTAAAGTCTGTTGTTAGACTGGAAAGACTGAATGAATGCAGATAGAATCTGAATGGACCTTGCACACAGTAGGGAAAATCCCCAGATATGTATTAAGAAAACACAGTTAGAGGGGTTCTGAATTAGAAAATAAAGAGTAGAAAATGAACAGATGGAAACACTGCATTACAGAAAAATAAAACGTTTTATAACTAGGTATTGTCACAGTTTTGCACTTTTTAGTTATGTTTAAGTTTTCTTTTTGAGTTTTTAATGATTTCATTTATTTTTTTTGTTGTTTTTTGGTTGTAATTTGTGTTTAATGTATTTCTTGTTTACCCTCTGTTGCCCTCTTGTGTCAGTCTCCTTTCGCCTAACTCCCTTCAAGATCCTTCTTTCCACACCTGCTACCAATTAATTAATTACTCCAGTCTGTTCTGTTTGCCATATACACCTTTTCAGTTACTGTTTGCTGGTTTCTCAGTGTTCCTTTGCGCTTAAAGGTGTTTTTCCCCTGATGTCTCCTGGTTCTTTTGGTTTTCTGTATTTTGTTTTGGGACTTTTTCTTCTGTTGTCCTTTGGATCTGCATTAAATCTTCATGCATCCAGCTCAGCTTCTATCTTTGCATTTGGATCCTCTAAAAAGCAAACAAACTGTGCAACCTGACAGGTATATACAAACTAATAAAAAAAAATTAAATTATTGAGAACACAGTGAACACATTTTGTTAGACAAGAAAATTAATAGAATTTACAAGACAAAACATTTTGAAAACCATCAAAGAATCCAAATCTTTTCAAAATGTCTGGAACAAATGGTGGTTCTTACATAAATGATGCCATGGGCGAGCCCTTCTTTTGGGCCCCCGACATTCCCCTGAAACGTTTTCACAAGGTGAAAGGGACATTAAGAACTTCATATGTTTTTTCAAATTATAGAGATACATTTTTCACCCATCTTTCTTGAAAATAGAGTTGGTTTCACAAAATAGTTGTGAAGAAGGTAAATAGTTACAGGGCTAAGTTCAGTCTCTGGAACAATATATATTATGGGGCACCTTAAATATAATGATCAAAATAAACAGCTGAATCATTTGATCATGGTCTCTTTTTTGACATATCCACAAGCTGGTGTCTTAAACAGGAGTATGTACACCTCTGAAAGCTGGGAAATTGTAATAACAATAAGAAAGCACTGGAAATGTTCCCTGTGGCGTTTGGACAAATAGGACTACAGTTAAAATATTTAACCCCTATATTTAAGAACGGAACAAATCAGTTGATTTCTGGCCTTTGGAACTTGAGATGGTATATTGCTGTCTAGTCTGCTTAAAAAACACAGAAATTGATCATTGATTCAACATTAATCAATGTACTTTTAAAAAGAAATCAACTTTAAAACATCAGCCTTGATTTACAGATGTGCTTTTGCATTGTAGGTAATCCTGGCACAAGCCTGAACTCCTCCCTCTAGTGATTGGTCTGATCTGTTTTAGACCAAAGTCTGAGTCATAAACATAGACCGTTTTTCACTATGTGTAGTGTGATGTCACTACTCGATGTGCTCCATCAGCTACTTTCTGAAAGTGCAATCAAATATACATACGGGTCGCCCTTGATTTCATTTTGTTAAAAACATCTAAGTTCAAATTTTCCCACTCCAAAAACAGTAAACGTCTAAGCTTTAACATGTTAAAGGTTAATAATGTATTTCCTGAGAAAATAAATGCCTTAAAATCCTTTCTGTTATATCGCCACTACGCTACTTCTGGGAGCTAACGTTTTCAGCTTTGGATTTAAACATAAATCCAGTCTGTTTTTAGTTTTATGTTTTCCTTTTGTGTTAACCTGATAGTACAGTATATTGTGCCTATTCTAATAAAAAAAAAAAAAAAAAAAAGATAAACATAGTCTAATCATATTTTGCCCGACTACTCTAAGCATGTACGATGATGTCAGACAAGCGGTTTAAAGAAGAAAATGTAAAAAGCATTACATTTTCTCAGAAAAGTCATGAAAAATGCTTTAAAGATTTGTATTAGCATTCTTTAGTGATTTAAGGATAAAAATAAGTACTTTTAGTACCATGATTTATGGCGACCTGGATGAATATCTGCTTACACATGCTCAAATGAGCCAATGGTATTGATTGTGCTTCCGGTACGGATCAGGTGATCACATTGCGTTTTGGTGTGCTTGTGAAACGTCGTCAGCCTTAGCCCTACTGCTGTTTTAATTCACAAGAACACAAGGCTGTGTCCGAATGTATAGGGCTCTATATAGTGGTTATGCCATTTAAAACAGGTGTTTGAACATCTAGTGGATAATGAAATAGTGGACTAGAAATTTCTCTCAATGCACATTGAAAAATAGTGATCATCCATTATGGCAAAGCATTATGGGATTTGCTGTCACAGTGGCCAGCTGTGGCTATCCAACAGGGGTGAAAAATAACAAAGGTGCGTGCAGGGAGGTGGAGTCACGTGACCAAAAGGGAGCAAAAAGTAGTGATCATCTGTCCTAACAGTCAGTAGACTGAGTTCACTATAACGCCCACTACAGTGGGTATGGAAAGTATTCAGACCTCTTTAAAATTTTCACTCTTTGTTTCATTGCAGTCATTTGCTAAAATCAATAAAGTTAATTTTATTTCTCATTAATGAACACTCAGCACCCCATTTTGACAGAAAAAAATAGAAATGCAGAAAGTTTTGCTAGCTGTCCAGCTGTGTTTAACTAAACTGATTGAACTTGATTAGAAAAGGCACACACCTGTCTATATAAGACCTTACAGCTCACAGTGCATGTCAGAGCAAATGAGAATCATGAGGTCGAAGGAACTATCCAAGGAGCTCAGAAACAGAATTTTGGCAAGGCACGGATCTGGCCAAGGTTACAAAATAATTTCTGCAGCACTCAATGTTCCTAAGAGCAGAGTGGTCTCTATAATCCTTAAATGGAAGAAGTTTGGGACAACCAGATCTCTTCATGGACCTGCCCGTCCAGCCAAACTGAACAATCGTGGGAGAAGAGCCTTGGTGACAAACAGAGATGGGAATTAACGAAGTACAAATACTTCGTTACTGTACTCAAGTAGATTTTTCTGATATTTTTACTTTACTTTACTACTTATTTTTATGGCGACTTTTTATTTCTACTCCTTACATTTTTACACAAATATCTGTACTTTCTACTCCTTACTAGGGTGGCCAGATGTCCGGCTTCAGGGCGGACAGTCCGGATTTTCATTGCACTGTCCGGCGTCCGGCGCTGCACCCAGCCGGACGTGTATTTGTCCTCCTTTACCCCCAGATTCCACATACTCCGTCAGCGCTCCGCCCCGCTCACGTACGTCGTGCAGAGTACTTGTCTGTCATGTAGCTGTTCCACATCCTCCGCTCGTCACCGCCCACGTACGTCTTCTCCGTCCTTCACCGTCAAAATACGGAGCTGAGCTATTTTTTGCTCCCCTCCGGTCCGTCCAGATCAAGACCTGCTATTGCAATCACACCAAACAGTAAAAAGAATGTAGAGAAGACCCGGTTTGTCAAATTAAATTATAGTAAAAACAGATCGGTAACTAGAAATTAGAGCATAGTTCGTATATATTCCCAAAAACTAAGAGCAATTAATTAAATAAGTTGATGCAGACTATTGGTGCTTCAACAGACCAGGAAGAGGTTGTGAGATTCTAGAGCGCATCTCACAACTTTAAAAGAAAATTCTTATTGCAGGAATGGATGAAGAGATGATGAGTTTGGAAGCAGAGAATAAACAGAGTTCATACAAACTATGTATGATCCTGTTATCCCTGTTACAAAAATCCACAACAGACAGAAAATATTTGGGCAGAAACTGAACATCTGCTGGATGATGATGGGGATTTTTTTAATATGTCAGATTAAATTAAGTGTTCACAGGTTTTATACAGGAATGAGGAACTCTAATTTAATGCTCTTTTAATGCTATTAGAAATAATTTTAATGCCATCAACAAGTATCATGTACACAAGTTATTAGTTTACATGAAATAAGGAGCTGTAAGCACAGTTCCATGACTCAAGTTTATATATATATACAGTATATATATCAGTGGCGGCTGGTGAAAACTATTTTTGGTGGGGCTGATATAGCCTAGTGTATGTCTCCAACTAATCCGGAATAAGAATTCAAATAAACAATTGGACAATACATACAATCTAACAGTAATGATTTAATTTACTATATAATAACAGTAACAGTGATGATTTGGGTCACTGTGACGGGGTTCTTTGGCCTCCAAGAATCCAGGCTCAGTCGGGTTACCGGTGTTGGTGATTTATTGAGCTCAAAAACTCAAAACAGGGTGCAAAAGAAACTAAACATGTACAAGATACTCTGGGCCTCAGCCTCCCTCCAGTTACCAGCAATGTAACAAAGAAACAGAAAACAAAAATTGCCGCTTTTCTTCCCACAGCCCTCATTAAATAGTTTAAGCCCCTCACCTCAGGCTCTCTTATTTCTGATTTCTTCTCATTAATCAGTTTTGTCCATATATTACCTCCACAAACAATTGATGTACAAAAACAAATAATTTTTACAACTTAATTCTTTTACACAGATTCATTGACTTATTCAATTACACCAAACTGGGTTTGAACCCAGCAAAGACGCAGCCAGACTGAAGATGACAAGTCCCCGTAGCATAAACACGTACACACCCACACCCCCCACACACACACACACACACACACACACACACACACACACACACACACACACACACACACACACACACACACACACACACACACACACACACACACACACACACACGGCTAACCCCACTGAAATATTAAGTGTGCACCCTCAATATGCCAGCAGGTAACCAGGAACAGCTTGTGTGTTTTAAGTTCATGGAGCTACTGGTCTCAGCGCGAGTGTATTGGTCCTCACAAGCACAGTATAACAGGAATGTGTGTGTGGCGCGCAAAGTTAGAGAGGTTGTTTTAAGCGACGAGGTGGATTCGTCACAGTCACAATAACCATGACATGAAATGTTCATATCCTACAACAGGGATGTTCTTCTGGCAAACGGGTAGATAAATAAGGATCTCACCGAATTTGGTGGAAGCTGCATCTCGTTCGTTACATTCGCCATCTTCCCTTTAATTGTCTGCACCTGCGCTTGGGTTCAGAAGCCTGTTAAAGCGCAGTATTTTCAGCGCCCCAAGACCATAAAGTTCTGAGACGCTGATTGGCCATTAAATTCACCTAGCAATAGTACATGATTGACAGATTCTCTGCAAATGTGGGGCTGTCTGATCACAGCCCCCAGAACAGAGACGGTAGGAGTCTGTCTGTGGAAATCCACAAATTAATGACAGTAGATAGGGAAATGTAGTTTATATAATTTGTTTTGCTTATAGGTACACAGTCTAGAGAGTAAAAGTGACATTTATGAGTTAATTTCTAAAAATATATTTTACGTTTCTCTCTTCTTATCAGGGAGGGTGGTGCCCCAGCGCCCCCTATGGGCCGGCCGCCACTGAGATATATATATATATATATATATATATATATATATATATATATATATATATATATATATATATATATATATATATATATATATATATATGGATAGATAGAGAACATGGTGAAATCATCTTTACTCTCAACAGGCTGCAGCCATGTCATGAATTCCTCTTTTCCAGCCACTTTTTGCAGTTTGCATCGTCCTATTCTCTAGCTCTTTCTCGAGCTTCTTTTCCAAACAACTGCTTTATGATCAATTGCAGCAGTTCTGCGCAAATTAATCGTGTTAAAAATGGTCACTTTTTAAACACCACAATGTATTAAATAAATACAAATGCTGGGAACCAATTCTTTTTTACATTTCTTTAATATTTTGTTCTATTCAGCTACACAAGCATCCTCTTTAAACTACTAAGAATTGTGCTATAAATGTGACTTTACCCGATTCTTATGTACACCTTAGTAATTTATTGATATGCCGCACAATGTCCTCCTTTTTGGTGCTATAGAAATGGCCACCCTACTCCTTACATTTTTAAAAATTGGCTCGTTACTTTAGTTTTGAATCATTTCAATGGAGTTACCGTTATTATTTTTCACGTCATCAATACCAAATTCAATCTAATTAGATGGGAATCTACGTTGCATTTGACGCACCACTACAAGATGAATCGACAGATTCGGCGGTATTCATTCGCGGGAAATCATTGCAGCTTGGTGGCAGTGGCGTTAGCATAGTAGCATGGACGACGAGATGATTGAAAATTAACACAACAGAGATCTAGTCCTATTGGCAGACATCCATTTAAAATGTAGGCAATGGCATGAAAAAAGTGGTTTCTACTTTTACTTTTATACTTTAAGTAAATTTACAATCCTGTACTTTGTTACTTTTACTTGAGTAAAGAAGTTTAATCAGTACTTCCACTTTTACCAGAGTATTTTTTAACACAAGTATCTGTACTTTTACTCAAGTACGGAAAGTGAGTACTTTTGCCATCTCTGATGACAAAGGTAAAGAAGAACCCAAAGATCACTGACTGAGCTCAACAGATGCAGTAGGGATATAGGAGAAAGTTCCTCAAAGTCAACTATCACTGCAGCGCTTCACCAGTCGGGGCTTTATGGCAGAGTGGCTCGCTGGAAGCCTCTTCTTAGTGCAAGACGAAAGCCCGCACAAAGTTTGCCAAAAAACACATGAAGGACTCCGACATTATGAGAAAGAAGATTTTCTGGTCTGATGAGACCATGATTGAACTTTTTGCCATTAATTTTAAGTGATATGTGTGGTGAAAACCAGGCACTGCTCATCACCTGCCCAATACAATCTCAACAGGTGGTGGCAGCATCATGCTATGGGTTGTTTTTCAGCTGCAGGGACAGGATGACTGGTTGCAATAGAAGGAAAGATGAATGTGGCCAAGTACAGAGATATCCTGGAAGAAAACCTCTTCCAGAGCTCTCAGGAGCTCAGACTGGGCCGAAGGTTCACTGTCCAACAAGACAATGACCCAAAGCACACAGCTAAAATAACAAAGGAGTGGCTAGGGAACAACTCTGTGACCATTCTTTACTGGTTCAGCCAGAGCCCTGACCTAAGCCCAATTGAAGTTCAGACTTTCAAAGTCATAATTATGAGTTACAATGTTTGAAAGTCGCATGTCTCATAATTATGACTGTGAAAGTTGAAATTATGACTTTGTATCTCATAATTATGACTTTTTATCTCATAATTATGAATTTGTATCTGATTATGAATTTGTAACTCATAATTATGATTTTCTATTTGGCATTTTTTTACTTTCATGTGGCGGAAATGGGTTTTCATTCTTGTAAATTCAATGATAATAAAAATTAATAAAAGAGGGAAAGAGGCACTTTTTCTGTATTATAGTTAAATTAACAGTACAGTTAATATTCCTAAAGTTTGTGAATATGAAAAATAAATAAATATAATTGATATTATTTCATTTATGAACTATTTCTTCTTGTTTTACTGTCACCTTTCCTCCAACCTGATCCTGGGAAGATATTTTGTTTTTCCTCCCCAGGTGACCCAGGTACAGGGCCTGCTGGTGGAGCTGCGCGAGGGGCTCCATGTGGCTCTGGCTGAGCTGGGCGAGCTCCGTCAGAGGGACCATGCTTTGGAAGAGAAGCTCCAAGCACATCAGACTGAAGTGGATGATAAGATAATGGGCCTCAAGAACTCACTCAACACATTTAAGGTGCTGGAGCGAGACAGAATTAAAAAGAAGCATGTGAAGAATCTATTTTTGTAGAAGCAGACAGGATTCTGTAATGTAATTTACAACAACTTAAAGGACATTTGTAGGAGCTGGAAATGAGTTCAATTTTTTAGAGTAAATTTGACTCCCTCAACAGATTAAATAAGCAGGTATGTGCATCAGAAACATCACTGATGCAACTTTTAATGTGTGAATATACCTATTAAAGTCCTTCTTTACAAAGCTTTGCCAAAGTATAGAAATCTGGAACTTTTTTATTTTTATTTTCTCCCTTCACAACAGCAACTTCAAAGCATTTTATCAGAACTGTGTGTTATTGAATTGATAGGGAAGAAAAAACTGTCAGCTTTTAAACATTCTTACCAATAGCAGCTGAAAACTTCTTCATAAATTCCTATTTTACTTCATTTTAGTCAACTCTGTGTAGCACCTGCCTTAGATCTAATAATGGCTCCAAGTGTTTGGGACTCCTCATGCTTTGCCCAACAAATATTTTTTCTGTTTTGTTTATTTTACCTGCAAAAAAGGCTTTATGAACACCAGTTTCCAACCCAATTCCTACTTCTATTTAGGTCTGGATCATTCTGACATATTAAGTTATTAATTCAAGACACTGCATTATAGTGCTGGTTAGAAGTTCAGTGTCATTCTTCTCCTATTAGGTGAACCTCTGCTCCAATCCTACATCTTTTACAGCCTCTTGCATGTTTCAATCCAAACCTCTCCAGTATGTGTTGACAGTCAGTCATTTCCATCAACTCCAAGCGGCCACTAACCCTTCCTACCTGAAGAACAGCATACCAAAAGGGATGTGCTGCCACCACCATGTTTCACCATAAAGATCATGTATTCAGAGTAACTTGCAGTTAGTTTTTCACAACATATACAGCAAATATTGAATACGGCACCATTTTTCTCAGTAAAGATATTTCTAGAGATGCTATTAAAATGACATTTTCACCAGATGTTGGTAACAATCCTTGCAATCCAAACATACAAAGAAATAAAACCGCAGATGTACAGAAATTATGTGTCATAAAATGGAATTGCACTGGGAAAAAGTATTGAACACGTGAAGAGGAGGTTCAAAAGAGCATAAACCAACAACAATAAGGTGCTCCTTGCAAGATTTCTGACAGAGGAGTGAAAATAATTACCACAAGTGTTGTCCAATAGCAAAGATCAGTTATGGAGAGCTTCATAAAGACCTGGAACAATTGTTTTTCAAAGAAAACAACAAGTAATGCACTAAATCACCATGGCCTGTATGCACACTCACCATGCAAGATTCAACTGCAGGAGAAAAAGCAGGTTGAAAAGTTTGATGCACAACATTTAGACAAGCCTTTGAAATACTGGGAGAATATAGTCCGGTCAGGTGAGACCAAAAGTGAATTCTTTGGATGCGATAAAACACATCATGTTTGGTGCATATCACCCCAAAAACACCATACCAACAGTGAAGTTTGGAGGTGGGATCATCATGGCGTTGGGCTGTTTTTCAGGAAGGGTGAATGGAAAAATGTACAGAGATATTATTGATAAGATCTGCTATCATCTACCAGGATGATGATGAATATAAAATGTGGGTGGACATTTTAGCAAGACAAGGACCCCAAACACAAAGCCATGGAAACTCTCAGTGTGTTTCAGAGGAAGAAAATAAAGCTGCTAGAATGGCCAAGCCAATCACCTGACTTAAACCCAATAGAAAATCTATGGAAATCTGGTGAAAATGTCACATCAATAGCGCCTCCAGAAATATATATTTTTGAAAAAAATAGTGGTGTTCAATACAATTCAAGTTTTTTGGATTTCTTTCTATAATCACTTCCTGGCAGATTTGTGGCATTTACAACAATATTTTCTCTCCCACATGAGCTCTAGATCTCTGCAGCTCCTCCAGACTTACCAAAGCTCTTGGCTGCTTTATAAATCATTCTTCTCCTGTCATCCTTTGTCTTCATGATGCAATTTGCTCACTAATGTTTTCCAGATACAACCTTACAATAAGGCTCACCTCAGATTGCAAATAAAAAGTTTACAGACAAGTTATTAGTTAGTTGTTAAACACTTTATAACTCATTGATAAGTGTCTTAATATGTATTGCACTTATAATGCCTGCTAAAAAGTCAGTTTTAATTAAAGCCACAAGTGGCATTGGGCGGCCCTCGCAGCTCGCACCGCCTGGTATGTTGCGATCGCGGGAACCAAGCGACCTCCACCTCCACGCTGCTTCCCAGCCTATGCTCCTGCTCTTCAGCCTATGCCTGCTGCTGCTTCTTCATCCTCCCCCTCC